CTAAAACTATTAAAAAAGTATATAAGAGAAGGTTGGCCAATAATAAATAAAACCCTGCCTAAAATACTAAAACCATACCATACATTCCATACAGATTTACACATAATGGATGGATTACTTTTTAAAAACAATAGTAGTGCCAACATCTTTACAGCAAGATGTCACAAAAACTACATTATAATCACATTGGTAGAGAAAAAACAAAAATTAGAGCTCGTGAATCATTGTTTTGGATAGGAATATCTAAAGATATAGATAACTTTATAAAAAATTGTAATTCTTGCATAAAATATAGCCCAGAAAATCAAAAAGAACCTCTTATCCAAGGTTCCTATCAAAGCATGGCAAAAATTAGGAGTAGACATATTTCATTTATATTCAAACGATTACTTATTAATTGTAGATTACTTTTCTAAATACATAGAGGTAATAAATTTACAAAGTTTAACAGCAGAAGTAGTTATAAAAGGCCTAAAGCAATGTTTCTCAAAATTTGGTATTCCATTAGAAATACAGAGTGATGGTGGTCCTCAATTTGCTTCGCAGAAGTTTAAAGAATTTTCATTGAAATGGGGTTTCAAACACAATTTTTCCTCACCATACTACCCAAGAAGCAATGGCATGGTGGAGAGGCATATACAAACTATAAAACAAATGTTAAAAAAATGTGTTGATGATAAGAAAGATCCTTATTTAGCATTATTAGAATTGAGAAACAACCCAATATCACAGTATATAAAATCTCCAAATGAAATGCTAATGGGTCACAAAGTTAGGGGCATATTAATTAATCTTACAAACAATAAACAAATACTGTCTCAATTAATAAAAAGACAAGATAAACAGAAACTTTATTACAACAAACATGTTAAACCTTTAAAAGAATTTAAAATAGGAGATAAAGTTTTATTAAAAAACCATAAAACAGGAACTTTTGATATACAAGCAGAAATAATAGAACATGCAAATAAACCAAGGTCATATATAATTTACTAACAAACTCAGGTAACATAATCAATAGAAATAGAATTCATTTAAAAACTAGCCCAAAAAATTATATATCTAATGAAAGTGACAATTTCGATTTAGAGTTTCCAGATGAAAATACCAATAATATAGAAGATAAGAAGGAGCAAATAAATAACAAAATATACAATCCTGTCAACGAAAATAATGATTACAATTTAAATAACAATAATCATGAGGAAACTATTCAAGCTTAAATGTCCAGCAGAGGCAGTCATAAAACTTCCTGCTTATTTATCTGATTAAAGTCATACATACGAACATTGTTAATAAAAAATAGTTTACTTTAGGATTTAATTTTTATTAAGTCCTAAAGACTTGGGTGTTAATTTTTATTTAATCTTAAATAAATTATTCTTTACAGTTCATGTAAAGTAGACCTAGTACATAATATAAGTGCATCAAATTAATATGTAAGTTATGATTATGATTCATATTACAGTGTTATGTATTTGTAAACTTGTTTTATTATAAAAAAGGAAGATGTGACATTATTGAATATAATCTGTGTCATTATTGTTTCTATAATATAGTTATATAATCTATGTGAGTTAATCTATGGTAATAAGTGTGAAATAAAAGACGTGATGCTCTAAAAATAAATTGTTGAAGTGAAACTTCTTTATCGGCGTTGGAAAAAAATTTACCGTCACATTTTTCGGTTACGCGTCACATTTTTCCGTTACGCGCCATCTTTTTATATTAATAGTTGATAGCTGAATGATCACACTGTCGCCGGTGAGAACTCTCTCTACTCGTTTGACAATGAGTGCTGAGTGACAATAGTTATTAAAGATAAGACTCGCTCAGCCAAACTCGCATAGCGATACTCGCTCAGCGATACTCGCTCAGCGGTACTCGCTCAGCGGTATTCGCTCAGCGATACTCGCTCAGCGATACTCGTTCAGCGATACTCGCTCAGCGATACTCGCCCAGCGATACTCGCTCAGCGATTCTCGCTCAGCGATACTCGCTCAGCGATACTAGCTCAGCGATACTCGCTCAGCTATACTCGCTCGGTTAAGCTGGCTTGGCTGTCAAAAGCCGTGCGCGTGCATTTTAACTCAGGACTGCCAATTCGTTTCTAGTTTCTTCTCGCTTATCGTTCATCGTCGGAGGTGGAACATGTGCCTTAGATTACTGAGCCGTGTAATCATAACAGTTTCATAGGCAGTAATTTGTATTCATGTCTATGATAATAAAATGCTTTTGTTTAAACTTTATCTAATTTAACTTTATTTAACCAATTTCTGGAAAGTTGCATGTAGATCATTTTTCGAAAAATAAGGCCACTTCTTACGCGTGTACACTAGTACACGCACACATTTTTTTGTTTAATTTACAAAGTTTAACATAATATGATATAGGAAACAAATGATGGTATTCCCCATATTCTCCGATCGATCTTCATTAGAAAACTCCTCCATGTTTACAACTGCAAAAACATCCCCCAATTTAAGTTTCTGGATCAACAGCTACGAACGCATCGAATGAGAAAGAGAGACTGTTGAATGACTGTCGATTGCGACTTTTTACAGATTAAAAGTTTATGAAGTGGTTTTATTTTTATATAAAAATGTAATAAAGAAAACCCCCGTTTCCCCCAAAACAAAATTTCTTCCCCCATTAATCCCCCCATCACTTTAAAAACCCCCCAAATTTGGAGTAACCTCCCCCCAACCTGGCAACATTGCTCGCGTCCGCGTCTTGTATTATCTGCCTCCACTGTGGCCATCACCTGCTTTCCTCAAGCTGACATCTCACGAGCCTGTTTTCTGAGTCTGAATCTGAACCTGAGTGCACTCGAGCCTTAGGGTGCGGCCAGAGTGCACTCAGATTCAGATTCAGATTCTGAAAACAAGCGCGAGAAATAAACAGTGTAGTCTAAGCAGGTTGCCTGCTTTTTCTCGCGCTTTGTTTTCTGAGTCTGAATCTGAATCAGGAGTGCAATCTGGCCGTACCCTTCGACTACACTGTTTATTTTTCGCGCTTGTTTTCGGAATTTGAATCTGAATCTGAGTGCACTCTGGCCGCACCCTTAGGCTCTATAGTAGAAGTCAGACCCATCGACAGAAACTATGAGATATACACATTCAGGTCCTAAGTATTGTCACACAGTAAAAACTTATCTCTTAGAATGCTGGCCACAAAAAAGTTTATTGAATTCGAATTTCGAATTGTACATGAAAATAAAAATGTATACTTTTTAGAATTTACTCATTTTTAAATATGGAGTGGATGCTTAAAGTAGACCGTGTTGCAGTTATTGCGTTGCATCGTTGCGGTTACGCGCCAATTCAAATTTTTGACATACTGAAAAATTTGAATATAACCTAAAGATTCGTTTATCATGGCATCAAACGATACAATGAAGACTCTAGTGTAGATGACAGGTCAAGAAATGGTCGCCCTCGGTCTGTTAGGACTCCAGCAGTGATAAAAGCTGAGAATGCGCGAATTCAAAGAAATCCTAAACTTAAGCAGAAACTGTTGGCCCTTCAGATGGGGTTAAACAGAACCACGGTGAAATTGGTGTTAAATGAAGACTTAGGGCTTCGGGCATATCGAAGAAAAACAGTATAACTATAATACTCGTCTAATGGACCTGACACTGAAAAGATGCCGCGCTTTGTTGAAGCGGTACGCGGGGAAAAAATATCGGGAAATTCTTTTTTCGGATGAAAACATTTTTGACGTGACAACGTCTTAAATTAGGTTGCGGCTGGGAGTCACTTATGAAAAAGTGTAACGCTCGGTAACGTTACGATGAGTCTCTCGTGTTAAGTTTAAGTTTACATGTACAATGTTTTAGTAAACAAAATATATTTCTATAGTTAAAATTTGTGCAATTCTTATTTTCATTCAATTCCTTGTTCCTATTGTGCAATTTAATTATATTCATATCAATAAATATTCTACCGAGAAAAAGACGTTGTCACGTAAAATCTTCGCCCGTAAAACCGACTTTACAGGCAACCATTTTTTACTGTAGAAGAGAGCTACAACAAACAAAATGATAAGGTGTACGTACAGAGTAGTGAAGAAGCGAGCAACCGTATTCCGCGTGTCCAACGAGGTCATTTTCCATCCTCGCTCATGATATGGTTGGGAGTTTCTTATTGGGGCTTAACAGAGGTACATTTTTGTGAGAAAGGTGTAAAAACGAAAGCAGTTGTATATCAAAATACAGTCCCGACGAACCTTGTGGAACCTGTTTCTCATACCATGTTCAATAACAGGCACTGGGTATTCCAACAAGATTCGGCGCCAGCTCATCGAAGAGCATACAAGACTGGCTGGCGGCGCGTGAAATCGACTTCATCCGGCACGAAGACTGGCTCTCCTTCAGTCCAGATTTGAGTCCGTTAGATTACAAGATATGGCAACACTTGCGAGGAAAAGGCGTGCTCAAAGCCTCATCCCAATTTGGAGTCACTCAAGACATCCTTGATTAAGGCAGCCGCCGATATTGACATGGACCTTGTCCGTGCTGTGATAGACGACTGGCCGCGCAGATTGAAGGCCTGTATTCAAAATCACGGAGGTCATTTTGAATAAACTTTATTGTCATAAGAATCTATGTTTTGTTAAGTTCATTTTGGTATATAAATGGTTACATAATGAATAAACTTGTTTCAATTATTTTATATTAAACATGTGACAGAATTTTGGCCTAAAATTATCAAACGCAGCACAGCACGTTACACAGGACTTCACGTGGCCAAAAACGGACATCGTAATCGTAAGCAACGCTTTGTGATGCAATGTACAGGTAGTGGTTTGATCCAGGTATAAATATGATAGTTTGCTTGATAATATCATTATTTATAAGATTTACGAGATTTTGCAGTTTTCTACTTAAGAACTAGCAGGATTGCTACTGCATATTTGGTTACACTGGTGTATATGTATTATTCTATGACACTGGTTGGATCTGTCAAAGCTGTCATGTCAAATCACGCCCCTCATCGAGCCCTCACCCCACCACTCCCTAGGTACGTTCCAGACCTACGCCCTAAACGCAAATTTTTACCTTGACGTTTATTTAATGACATCAAATGTATGAAACTTATGTCAAATTTGACATTTGTTGGGCTTGAAACAGTGGATTGGAACGCAGCTAAATTCTACTTTCATTTTCATGTTTGTTTGTTGCCCAAATGCCCATGAAATGAGTTTCTTGGAGAGACTTTTACAGTTTATTGAAATTCATCACAGCAGTGGACTGGGTCTTTATATAGTTCGTTAATAGTTATTTTTTTTTGTTATTTAAGTAGGTATCTATCTATTTCACCAAAACACGATAATAACAGGTACTTAGTAAGTAATTTCTTAAAATATAGTAGATTTTTCTAGCATTTTATTATTAATTATTTCCGTTGTGTTATTATATTATCGGTTTCTTCGACAGAAGAAAATGTTTCTTACTTTATTCCTGAAGTAAGATTCAAACTCATCTCATGATGATGACTACCATGGCTTCGGGCGGTCCAGGAGACCCTCATACTCAAATGAACACCTACCGTAGTTATGTGACTATGCTAGCAGATCCTGGTGCCAAGGACGAGATCAAACTCAAGGCAGCACAGGAACTTTCCGAAAATTTCGAGGTATGTATTTTAGGTAAACTTCAGAAATACTGGTCTCGTAAAGTCTTGTTGTCTAAAGAAACGTGGTATTTATTTTAATTATAGGAGGAATAAGCAAAAATAATTAAAATTTATGAAAATGAAGGTAGTTACTAAAAAACCGATAAACGGAATCACAATTGAACACAGTCTTAGTGGCCTTTTAGTTAGCTAATGGAAACCATGGACTTCCAAATTTGTTTATTATCAAATTTTTAGAACTACTTGAACAAAATTAATAACGCTATATTTTGTTTTGCACTGTTTTTGGACAGTTTGTAAAAATGCCATGTGGTTGTGTTTTTATTTATATCATTGTATGATTGATGTTATTTGTTGCTCCATGGTTGGAATTTATCTTACCCATACAGTAGACTTGTGTAAATCCGGACACAGTTATATCCAGAAAGTATACCTGACCAAGGATAAATAACCAATCATTCCAATTAATTAATTTCGTAGCATATGTTCCGGTCTGTTAGGGGTTTTGCTTTCTGGGGTAGTTTTGTAAGGGGTAACTTGCAAATACATTTGGCCAATAACCGGCTAACTAGCTACAGAACTGACATGAGTATATACAGCGCTGATAGCAGTGGTTAAAGTGTGTTCTGTTGTACATTAAAATTAATTAAAGTGCCTTACTGCTGTTTAATGCGTTGACTCTGACTGAGGTGGCATGCGTCATTAATAGCAAAGAAATTTTATTACCATAAAACACCAGCAAGAGCAAAGTGTGTGAGCGCTGCTTTTATTTGTATTCAAAATTAAACTTTACATTTTTTTTTGACAGTCCTAAGTCTGTTAACTACCAAATATTTGTGTAAAATATCTGATCTGCCCTTATCAAGCGGAAATGGATATGGTTAAATATAATTAAATGTTAGCTGGATATACCACATGATTTGAGAAGGATTGAATGAATTGGACTAGTAGGCTCGATATATTAAGCGGATAAAGTATATACTAAATGGATATATATCTTTTTTTGTAGGGATTGTGTCAAGCTGCTTCTTTTAAATATACTGTTTGTAAATTGAATGAAGTTAAAATAACTGGTTGTTGGTTTTTTTCTTTTCATTTTATTTCTTTCAGTAGTTCTAGTAGATTTTGAGTACCAGAACATACAATTAATATTTAATAGTCCTGCTAAAGGGTAGCAGAGTGAGGATTAACAATATGTCCTACTAATAGAAGAATATATTAGGGACTGTTTACTTTATATATAAATTCTAGGAGCAGGGGGAGACTGAGGGTGCAGATGATGAGAGGTAGTTAAACATGTGAACCCAGTGTGGATTGGTGGTTTGCTAATGACTGCAGATGTAGCCTGCACTAATGGCTTAACTTAATAAGTCACCCATCCATTGGGAAACTTTCTTAATTTTCAGGATTGCTGCCCAAATGGGCTAAACACCTTAATCCAATACAAAGCACCTCAATTTTCAAAATTATAATTATTTGGTTTTTATATTAATAAAAAATAAATTGCTAAAACTGTACTTCTGGGGCCTGGGAGTTGACACTAAACAATTTTATGTTTAATTATTGATTTCTGGTCACTGTCACAAACACAACCTAACTTAGTGATTTTTAAGTGTCAACTCCCAAGCCCAACAAGTATAGTTTTACATCTAATATTTTTTTCATAAATATTAGTATCAAATAATAATATTTCTCTAATTAAATCAACAGTTTGGTCATGGAGAAGTCAGTGCATATTATATGTTTTTGTTTTTTATTATATTTTTTTTTTCAATTCTGCACCACACAACTTTTATTTAGTCCTAAATTAAGCAGAGCTTGTACTCTAAATGTCAGGTATAGTACACCTATTATCTCTAATGGTAGCCATACACACTACGAGAAATCGTTACGATCAGACTGTACAATTCGAACGGAACAGTTTATCGTACGTGGCGTACGTATAGGAAACTGTGCAGTTTTATAACATACATGCTACGATTTATCGGTACCGTTCGGACGGTACAGTCTAATCGTAACGATTTCTCGTAGTGTGTATGGCTACCATAACTCTTAGCTGGACAGTTAACATCACCACTTAACATCAGTTGGGATGGAGCCATTATGTCTAAAAAAACATATATAATATACTTAACATCAGTATTATATAATGAAAAAAATGTAATGAAAAAAAATAATCTTGATAAATATAAATCAGTCATCTAATCACAATTTATTATCTTTATTAAACTATTACAATTATCATTGTCATAAAATTAGGGTTTTTAATGAGATTCTAAAATTAACTATAAAATTCATCAATCCGTCCACCAATCACTCCATCAGGCCCACCCGTCTGTCAATCCGCCCGTCCGTCCGTCCGTCCGTCCGTCCGTCCTTTTGTTCATCCATTTGTACACCCGTTTTCACGCCCGTTTATGCATCCTAACCGTTAGAGAGCAGTATCATCATGCTCGGTATGGAAACTCAGGAGTCCTGAACGAGGTGCGGCGTTGTTTTACGCCCGAGCAACTGCACTTGTTGTATAAGACGCAGGTGCGGTCTTGCGTAGAAAATTGCTCGCACCTCAGGGATGGCTCCGTCAAGTACTTGCTTAATACTTTGGATAGGTTACAGCGGCGCGCGATTTTCACATCATAGGCGATGAGGAGGTGTCTAAACACCTCGGCCTCTCTAATTACGCTGTGACGTGGCGACACTAAGCTAGTTCTATCGTCTGTACCACGACGAGTGTTCGGAGGAGTTGTTCTTTCTTATTCCACCTTCCTCTTTCTTTCAGAGAACCACGCGTGCTGGCCTACCTCGTCACCGTTTAAATGTGACCACTATTCCAACGCGTACAAACAAAATTTAGTGACTCATTTCTTTGTCGCTCTATCCGCAAATGGTAGCTCTGCCCTCTCACGTGTTCACTCCCTTTTACAACATGGGATCCTTTAAAAGAGGTGTGAAGAAACAACATGCAGGCCGGCAAGGTGAGGATGGTTGGTGTGGCAGGTAGAACTGCTGAACCAGCTATCTTCACGTCTGGACTTCACCATCACTTAACATCAGGTGGGGTGGAGTCATTTGTCGGACCTATCTACATATAATAAACCGTATGCTTAATTGCTCGTCCATTGGCCTATCCCTTCACCAGCCTGTCCAACCGACCGCACGCCTTCCGTCCTAACGTCCATATGTTCGTCCATACGCTACTGTCTCCGTCTGTTCATCCGTCCGTTCTTCTACTTAATTAACGGTTAAAAAGCAGGCGATTGGCACGACATGGTCATCAAAAACTATTATCCAGTATGCTATTTTATTTTTCATGCAATACAGTCACGGAGCACCCCCACTAGAGTCCGCATACAAGGGCAAGCGCTTACGCCAAGCTTAAGTAGTATATTACCTATGCGTGAGGCACGCCTACAGACGTCGCGATACATCGTTTCATTCGGTAACCGAGCGTTGGTCGAACTGCTTCTCTCGTTTTCGTGTTAAAAAACTGTAAAAAATGCCGTACTGTGCAATTAAATTGTGTGGAAAGTCGAGTACAACTTCCAGTCTTCAAAAAAATGGTATTACTTTTCACTGGTTAGTTTAAATGCATTACAAAAAGACAAAAATACTGTTATATTAAATTGCTGTTAATGTATTTATTTTTTGGTGAACGCGTTGATGTCTTTTTACACTATCCCTTTCTCGCATGGGCTACATCATATATGCTATCTCGCTCTCACACCGGCACGTGTATTGCTAGTGACTCAGACGCAGCTCATGTCTCAACGCGTAAGTTTGTCGATAAGTTTGTCAGCTATGGAAATGGAAAAAATAAATAAAAACTATTTATTTCATCGTATACAATAATAGATGTCATAAGTATACAACCAACAGTTTTTATTTGATTGAAGTCAAACATATCCTAATAAAATTTTAAAAACGCGAAAATTTGTATGCATATTTGTTACTCTTTCACGCTAAAACGGTTAAACGGATTTGTATGAAATTAAGTGCGCATAGTTTATGGCCTAGATAAAGACATAGAATTAACGATATTAAATACCCTAGATACACCACGACCGCTCAAAATGTGTCCCAATATCTAAATAGTCTGTGGTCCCAATCAAGAAGTGCTTGAACTCCACTCAAGCACTTCTTAGTACACAGTCACACGCGGACCGTTGAAAAGTCAAGATGCCAAAGAGTTCCGTGAAAAAATGCACAAAAATACTAATAGTACGTAAAGTGTGGTTTTTTCGACGGGTATCTAATTAATGTTTTTTAATTAACGCCTTTAAAGCAAATTTTATTGTTGTAATACTTACTATAAACTGATTTAATTTAAAATATTTGTGATATTCAAATGCATGGTCGGTTATACGTCGCCCTTAGCCATCTCTTTTCTTCGCGGTCTGTACCTGCTATATTGTTAACAGCGCATTCAGAATTGCGCGTGAAAAGTAAAAAAAAATAAGGTCTATATTCTTTCACATATAACACTAAATCGTAAAATTTTACGAATTTGACGCATGCATTTTAATTAAGACCTTATGCCGTATGCATTAAAGGTGACTTTCAATGTTTAAATAAGGCATTATATTGTTTTTGACCATGCGATCATCTTACGGACCTCCGTGGATCGTCCAATGTACCTTTTGGACACGTTTCGGCCACGATTTTGTTCGTGTTGTTGTATCTAGGGTAGTTAATATCGTTGCATTAATACTTCTTGTCCTGGACGTGTTTTTTTTTGTGTTGCTTACATATTAAATTATATGTAGTTACTAGTCGCGTCATGTAATTAGAACGCTGTAAGAAAGTGGAGAGGGTATGATTACGCATTTGCGCACCAAAGTACTAGGCCTCTATTCTAAATTGTTTATCGATAGAAAATATCGATATTTTCTAAAATCGATCTTACCCTCATCACTTCGCTGCACTGAGTATATGATCTGACCTTGACGCGTCCAATCACAGCGGGGCTGACCTCCCTGCACCCCACCTACTTTGGCGATTTTGATTCCAAACAAAATTTGTGTGATGCGGACTCTAGTGGGGGTGCTCCATGAATACAGTAAACCTGTTTGGAGGAGAGAGATTTGTTATTGATAAATTTGTCTATTTTATCTGTGATAGTTACAGATCTTCACCAAATACACATGGGTTCATACAAAAAGACAATATAACAACTAACAAAATCAATAATTATTGCTTTCAGGTAATATTAAGTTCTCCACAATACCCTCAATTTCTAGACCATTCATTGAAAATTTTCCTGAAAATACTTCAAGAAGGTGAGCCTCATTTCATTGCTGAATACAACATCCAGCAAGTAAGGAAGCTAATACTGGAAATGATCCATCGTTTACCAATAAACGAAACATTAAGGACATATGTAAAAAGTATTTTAATTCTTATGTTAAAATTGATGGAAATTGAAAATGAAGAAAATGTTCTTGTCTGTCTGAAGATTTTTATGGAACTTCATAAGCAGTATCGTCCTGCTTATAGCACAGAAGTTGATGTAAGTATAAAAATTCAACTTTGTACAAAAGTTTATATGTCGTTATTAAAGCTTAAATTATTCATGTGGACTGTAACTTTCAGATACATAAGTTCTTACAGTGGGTGAAAGGAATTTATTCAGATTTGCCAAACCACTTACCCAAAATTTTTGAACCAAAACCTACTATTAGAGTAAAGGATTTATCTGAGGTAAACATTGAACAGCTACTGCAAGAAACCTATACTACTACACCAATACACACGGAGAAAAAATTGCTAGATGGTAGTGTTGTTACAGTAAGTAAATAGTTTGACTAAAATAAAAAAAAAAATTCTTAAGTTTTCACGCACGCCATCCAGTAAATGTAACACACTTGGAAAAGCATTTTAAACCCTTTTAAGCGTGTTTCATTAATAGAAATACAAAAAGTTATAAGATTCGTTTTTATATTAATGTCCAATACTACTTTTTTCAGTACAATCTCATCCCTAGATCAGTACTATCACTTAAGGTAATTCAAGAGTTACCAATTATAGTCGTTCTTATGTATCAGTTATATAAACAAAATGTACATCAAGAGGTTAGCAACTTTATACCTCTCATAATGGAAACCATCACTCTACAGCCAGCTGCTACGCACAGGTATGTAGCTATTTATTTTAAATTCATTGACCATTTAATATCAGTGATCCTTTATAATTAATACTTTTTTATGCTACAGTGTTTATAACTCACAATGATTGTATTAAAAATAAACAAATTTTAGGCAATCAGCATCATTTAACAAGGAAGTTTTTGTCGACTTTATGGGAGCACAAATCAAAACTTTAGCTTTTTTAGCATATATAATAAGGATATACCAAGACACTATAGCCAATCATGCTAATTTAATGGTGAAAGGTATCATTGGCTTGTTGACATTATGCCCACCAGAAGTTGCTCATTTGAGGAAAGAACTGGTGATAGCCACGCGTCATATTCTCGCTACTGACTTAAGGCTTAGTAAGTATTTTTTTAAACATAGATGTTCTTTATAAAGTATGAGCTTAAACATTATGCATCAGCAATTCCTTTTTTAATTTCTGCTTTCAATACGTAGATTCGATTTCCTTAAATTATTATTGATATTATTACAGAATTTGTGCCCTATATGGAGCGTCTTTTTGATGAAGATGTATTATTGGGTGGTGGTTGGACAGTGCACGAGACTCTCAGACCACTAGCGTATTCTACATTAGCTGACTTGGTGCACCACGTGCGACAGCATTTGCCATTATCGGATCTGGCAATTGCAGCGCACCTTTTTTCAAAAAATGTCCATGATGAATCTCTTCCAACAAGGTATACAGAACTTAGTTAAGTGGTTTTGATTATGCTAAGGGACATATTTGTAATAATATGACACTACTTTTTGTAGCTATATTATAAAAAAACTATTAAACAGTTAAAAATGTAGTCCTTAGATTTGTTTATTTATATTATATTAAAAGCTCAGACTTTGTCATACCTGATAAAAATATAAAAAAATCTTTGAACATGATTGCAGCACCGTCAATCAGGTAGAGTTAGAAGCTAGTTTTTGTTTTTTCTTTCTGTGCAACTTGGCAAACTTAAAAAAAATATGCATGGTATCGTAAAGTTGTTCTCAGATAATAGTATGGCCAAAGGAAATAGTGATTGATATTTATTTATTAAGATTCTTGTATAAAGGCTCAATTACTCTTGTTCGCTAGGCCGAATATGATTGTCTATGGAATTCTGACAAACGACTAATCGTAAATTAGCGGTGGTGTCGAGTACGTACGTCAATCACTGAGGTATGCTCCAACTAGAATGTGGGTGCTGGATCTTCTGCCCGTGTTCCAGTACCCAAACGTGAGTAAAACAATCTAATTAATGTCTTTCCTGCACCCGAATACGGGCTAACGACCAAGTGTAATTGTGTTTTTATTTCTTTACTAGCGGCCGCCCGCGACTTCATACGTTCGTTCTCCGTAGATGATAGCGTGATAATATGTAGCCTATATGTTGATCCGACTTAATATTCGTGCCAAATTTGAAGTAAACCCATGCAGTACGTTTTGAGTTTATCCCGGACATACACACAGACAAACGGACAAAAATTCTAAAAACTATATTTTTGGCTTCGGCATCGATTGTAGATCACATCCCAAGTTTTCTTTAAAAAAAATATTCAATGTACAGTTTTGCCTTTCCTACCATTTTATTATATACTAGCGGCCCGCCCTCGCTTCGCTTCGGTGTAGAGCTGAAGTGTAGACTACAGTTTTTGTTCTCAGGCTTGTATTAACAGTGTATTACAACAATGACATTCATCTATGATTTTTCTTATACCTGCATGCAAAGTCTCAGCCCGATCGGTTTAAATTTGACAAAGTTTCATACAAACTTTCATTCCCTATTTTATCCCCTTGGGGATAGAATTGATCAAAATCCTTTCTTAGCGGATGCCTAAGTCGTAACATCTACCTGCATGCCAAATTTTAGCCCGATCCGTCCAGTGGTTTGGGCTGTGCGTGGATAGATCACTATGTCAGTCAGTCACCTTTGAGTTTTATATATATAGATTTACCTTTCACCTTTGAGTTTTATATATATAGATATATATAGATTTACCTTGTTCTTTTGTTGGCAGCATTCAGACAATGTCATGTAAGCTGCTGTTAAACCTGGTGGACTGCATCCGGCAGAGGTCGGAGAGCGAGGGCGCCGCGGCCGGCGCTCAGCCGCACGGCCGGCAGCTGCTCATGCGCATCCTCGAAGTGTTCGTGCTCAAGTTTAAGACCATCTCCAAGCTCCAGCTGCCGGCGCTTATGGCCAAGTGGTATGGAATATCACTACTTTTAATTGGCCAAAACTAATTAGGCCTATAAAGATTTTTTAGAGTAAAACTCTTTGTTGCACCGAGTTAAAAATAAATTAATATATAAAAAAATACAAAAATCTTTATTATTATTTTTACAAAACTTTTCAATGTTCTGGGTCTTGGACCGTTCTCCAAAAAAAAAATATTCTTTCTCAGATATCTTGAACTAGACTATAGAACTATAGATTTTCATATAACACAACGATATTTTAATGTACATGATAGACACTGTTTAGTTTTTTTTTTATAAATAGGTCTGACAAATGACTTTCAATCAATCAGAGTAATTCATCATGATAAATGCAGATTTTTCTAGTGTGAGTTGCACCACAGAGCTGGTTAAAGTTAACAGCTTGCACTGCTTTAAGCGGGTCACGGAGCGGGTGTCCGCTCCTCGTGTGGTTTTATTGACATTTCATATTGACCCGCTGCGCGGGAGACTCGTCCCACCCAGTGCTGCTTCTGAAATAACATGAAACAAACACGCGGAGGGGACACTAACTCAGCGCACGCTCTAAAGCTAAATTTTACTTTGACTTATATGAAATGACAGTAAACTTAATGTAAGTTTCAATAAATAATCAAACTCCAGTAAGAGGTAGGCCTACTCGAGCTTTGTTGCTATGATATTTTTGTTATTAAGACATATACATAGACACATGATATTTTTGTTTTCCGTTATTCATTCTTTAGCAAACAAAGTACGCCTGCCACTGCGAGTACTACAACGGCTGGAGCCACACCTAGCACGCCAACCACACCGGCGCCAGGCACCCCCGCCGTCGAAATAAAAATGGAAGAAGAAAAACCGACGCCAGACTTCTTAGACAGCATGTCGAAACCAGAGGAGAAGTCCAAAATTGGTTTTCCTTCGTCACAGATGAACAATTTGAACGTGGGGGATTATAGAACGTTGGTGAAGACGTTGGTGTGCGGGGTCAAAACTATCACTTGGGGCTGTGCATCTTGCAAGGTAAGTACCAGAAGTTTGTTAAGGTTTTTTAGTCTTCGGGTGACAAATTATTCAGCCTTTACTGTCTGTCTGCCAGTCTGAGCAGACTTTATCACATGAACTTGATTTGTAGATGAAACCGGATAACTGAAACCTCAATATGTATTTTCTACTTATTTACCGTGATTGTGATACGTCTTTGAGGGGATCAAATAAAATATTTGAATTTTCTGTCTATCTGTCCTCTTCACGTTTAAATCGTTGAAACGATTTAGATTTAATTTTTTACAAATAGTTTGAGTATTTTCCCAGCATTTATCATTAAAAGCTGTGAAAAGTGTAGTGGAAGTTTATAAGGGTAAAAACAAATTCCATGTAGATGAAGTCGCGGGACTCGGCTAGTGTTCTTATGTAAAGCTGTTTTTTTTTGTAGCTGTTTTATTTTTAGGTACGCAAATCCATCTGATGTTAAGTGGTGATAAAGTCCAAACGCGAAGATAGCTGGTACAGCATGTGTGTATATTTGTGACTCATCTTCGATCGTCATAACTACAACTGCAGCCGAAGGGGCCCATATGCCACGATAGCTGATCAGAAGCAGTGTTTCACGCGTGAACCCTAGTTAGACATCGCCGTATGTCTTATAAACACTGATCGCCCCTGCGCTCTCTTTAGGAGTGATAATTTAATTTAACAACATAATGCTTATACCTATATGTGTGTAATGGTACCTCACCTTGATCGTGAGACTAGAACTGCAACCGAACTCCGAAACCGAACCGGGGCCTCGACTGCTACGATAGCTGGGCAGAGGCAGTTTTCCGCGCGTGAGATGCTAGTTTTCATAAGGCGCGATAATGGTGCTATGCTTGCCGCCCCCCACGCGGGGTATAATAGGAGTGATAATTTAATTTAACAACATAATGCTTATACCTACTACGCGTTCGGTTCGAGTTGGCCGCTCCCACTCTTCCCGCATAACCGCTCCGCGCACCTGGACCTAGGTCGACGGTTCCAGTTGATGTGCCTGTGATTAGCCTGTGACACCTTTTTGCAACTTATCATCGACGGCCAACTCGAAGCAAACTGGTAGTATATCTGTGTGTAAGGATACTTCATCTTGATCGTCAGACTACGACTGCAACCGAAGGGGCCTCGACTGCTACGATTGCTGGTCAGAAGCAGTTTTCCGCGCGTGAGACACTAGTTTTTATAAGGCTGGTGAGGTGGGGGCTGCAGTCTTTAGACATCTATACGCTGGCTGCCCCCCGCGCCCCCGCCACACCGCCGGCGCAGCCGCACGTCCGATCGAAAGAGGAGAAGGAGGTGCTAGAACATTTCAGCGGTGTAGTAAGTATAGAATCGAGCTAACACCCCCTTTTCAGCCCCATTCATTCTGACTCTTATAACAATCTGTTCTCGTTCACAGTTCTCCATGATGAATCCTCAGACATTTCAAGAGATTTTCACGGCGACGATCTCCCATATGGTGGAGAGAATAAACAAAAATATGACATTACAAATTATAGCGAACACGTTTTTATCAAATCCAGCGACTTCCCCGATATTCGCCACAGTTTTAGTTGAATATTTACTAAAAAGAATGGAGGAGATGGGATCCAATGTCGAGCGATCCAATTTATATTTGAGACTCTTTAAGTTGGTTTTCGGTTCAGTTAGTCTGTTTCCAACTGACAATGAGCAAATGTTGCGCCCTCATTTGCACAACATCGTCAATAAAGCCATGGACTATGCTATGACGGCTAAGGAGCCATACAATTATTTTCTTCTTTTAAGAGCATTGTTTCGATCGATTGGTGGGGGCAGTCACGATTTATTATATCAAGAATTCCTGCCGCTTTTGCCTAACCTGTTGGAGGGGTTGAATCGACTACAGAGTGGTCTTCATAAACAGCACATGAAAGATCTCTTTGTAGAACTATGCCTAACTGTGCCTGTGAGACTCAGCAGTCTATTGCCTTATTTACCTATGCTTATGGATCCTTTGGTATCGGCTTTGAATGGATCCCATACATTAATATCGCAAGGTTTACGCACTCTGGAGCTCTGTGTGGACAACCTTCAACCAGATTTTTTGTATGAACATATTCAACCAGTAAGAGCAGACTTGATGCAAGCACTCTGGCGAACTCTGCAAAACAACGAGGTTGCAAGGATAGCATTCAGAGTTTTAGGGAAGTTCGGTGGCGGTAACCGTAAAATGATGATAGAACCACAAAGACTGGAGTACCGTGAGACAGACGCACCGCCACCGGCTGTCCAAGCATATTTCCAAGACCAATCTAAACCTATAGATTTTGAAGTAGATAAAGTAATAGAGACAGCCTTTTCTGCGTTAAAGTCTAGCACAACGGATCCCTTCTATAGGAGGCAGTGTTGGGAAGTGCTTCGATGTTATTTGGCTTCATCATTAAATCTAGACGATGATAGACAAATTCTTATGAAACTCTTTAACCATCCTAGTTTTACAGAGGGAAAAATTCAGACCCAGAGTGGTCCTTATTACAAATGTGCAAATAGTATAGTGAGAAACACACATCGGACGGCACTGACTGGAATGTTTGTGGCGGCGGCTATTAAAGAGTTGCGTCATCACGTGCTACCGACAATGGTGTCTTTAGTGCGCCATTACACTATGGTGGCGATAGCTCAAGAAGCTGGACCGTTTTCAAATACCGGGGGACCTAAAGAGGGTCTGGACGCTCTGGTTCTAGTGGATGCTGTCGCAGTAGTGATGGGCCATGAGGAAAAAGAATTATGCAAACCGGGTCACCTTGCCCTCGTGCTTATGATAGAAACGGCTGCCACGGTTCTAGGCAGCAAAGAGCGAGCTTGCCGCCTACCTTTGATGGAGTACTTAGCTGAGCGCATGTCGGCTCTTTGTTACGAACGAGCTTGGTATGCGAAGCTGGGTGGCTGCATCGCTGTGAAGTTCATGGTTGAGAAAATGGCGCCTGAGTGGGTCTACAAGCACATATTTACGTTTTTGAAATCGGTCCTGTTTGTCATGATGGATCTTACCGGCGAAGTGTCGTCAGGCGCGATAGACATGGCTACTGTTAATTTGGAGCGGCTGGTGCGAGTTTGTGTGACGGGGCCGGCGACACCGTCCTCTGAGTCGCCCGATCCTGAGGTGGCGGCCGCGAAGGCCCGCGCCTTGCATGATGTGCTTCAGGAACTAGTCCTGCAAGTGACTAGTCCACACCTACTTGTGCGTCAACAGGTATGATTCAAGAAATTGGTAGCCTGTTACTTTTAAATGACATTTGCTTGCGTTGTACCTCGATTGTTTATAGATTTTCGCTGCATTATTAAGATGAATTTTCATTCTTTTAGGCTATGAAATCGTTAGAATTGATAGCGGAGTTACAAAATAAGACCGTTACCGATGTAATGGATCCGCACAGAGAGGTATTGGCGGATATTATTCCGCCGAAGAAGCATTTGCTCCGTCATCAGCCGGCTAATGCACAGATGGGTCTTATGGATGGAACCACGTTCTGCACGACCTTGAAACCTCGACTATTTACAATTGGTAAGATTTTTCTTCAATCATTCTCATTTAGATAATTAACAGCATTTTTTTAATGCACCACGTCAAATTTTATCCACAGACTTATCAATAAACGAGCACAAAGTATTCTTCCGAGAGTTGCTTTCACTTTGCGAAGCGGAAGACGCTATGTTAGGCAAGCTGCCATGTTACAAGGGCGTTAACTTGGTGCCGCTGCGCGCGTCGGCCCTAAAAGCACTGGCTGCCTGCCATTACATACAAGAGAAGCACTGCAGGGAGAAAATCTTCCAAGTGCTTTACAAGTCTTTAGAAAAGAATGATCAGGAGTTGCAGCAAGTTAGTATATTATATATAGTTAAATTAGAAATCGAATCATTGAAATTCGAAGATATTTTATGGTATTTGGCAACTTCTTTTTTATGTCATTACCATGCTATTGTATATTTCAGGCTGGTTTCGAATGCATGCAGAAGTTCCTCTCTGGTTTCCAAATAGACATGGAAATGGTCCACCCGGTAATGAGGCCGCTTCTACTCACCTTAGGTGACCACCGTAACCTCAGTGTAAACGGTGCCAAGCGACTCTCGTACTTAACGCAACTGTTCCCTTCGACGTTCAGCGAAAAATTGTGTGAGCAGTTGCTGCAGTTGCTCAAGAAACTTCTGGATTATTCTATTCAGACTAATAGAGGTATGTTGTATTTTCTTCATTTCAATTCATTCATGTTTGTTTAGTAGTAAATCTACAATCAGCCGTTTTCCTTTTTTTATAAGCAGCATCCTTTGTAACATCTGAATATATCTTATTAACATATGTTTGATATAAAAAATGACTATATCTGTCTATCATAATCAGCATATAAATGACCTCACTACTGCGGCACAGTGCGGATTTGTGGGTGCTACCGACTGCAGGTGAAGCACGACATAGTAAATTTTTATTCATGTATCGGCCATCATATGAAAGTTGCATAACTTCTTTTCACTAACATAGCAGTCGACAAAATTTTAAGAACTCTGATGTGTTCAAGATATTATTATTCATTATACACATTTTCTTTTGTTGATAGGTGGAAACTTCCTTCAGAGCGTGTCAAAGAACATGGAGAACGAACAGAAGATCATAATTCTGATCGGCATATTTCACCAGATACCAGCCGCGTCTCCGCGCTTCATTGATGTGTTATGCCGGTTGATCTTCCACACTGAGAAGTCGCTTATGATCGAAGCTGGTTCTCCTTTCAGGGAGCCGTTGGTGAAATTCCTGCTAAGGTTCGTCAAGATTCTTGATGATAAAAAAATATAAAACTGTATTTGAAGTTTAAACTGGGTGTTAATTTAAAAACTTAGTTAATTACTTTTGTGCGTAAAAGTTTAGCAGTTGTCGTTTGGATTATAATTGAACTTAGTTTGTAGATAGCCTTAACAGATTTTATAATAATTTGATGTTAGTCGTAACCTTGTCTTGGGTTGTAATTTGTGAAAGGTCATTGCTCGTTCTCCATACATTGAATGCCCCAGAACGTACAGCAATGAGAAAATGCTAGTTGTGTTTGGAATCATTCATAAACTCTCAGTAGGCATTTGTTGAAATACGTATAACTTGAGGAACCGTGGCCTACTACAGAATGTATTAGGTTTTGAGGTTATAATTGTTATACTATATAGTAAATGATCTACACTTTATATATTCTAAATAGATATATTGCTTACCTCAAAGTAAGCACTTAAATAAAATGAACATAATGCAATTAATAATAAAAATAATAAATGCTCATATTCATATTGAATTTTGATTGTTGGCAGTTAGCACCTATGAGACCTATACCTACCTGTTTTTATAATAGATTTCTTTTCAAATGAAATGTTTAAAGGCTTTTCATTTACCTGTTTCTATATTTTATTATTGGTTATTAGGTATGTACCGAGCTATCATTATAATACCTGGCTTCATAAAAATAGAGAGGTGGGGTAAAGTCATTTGCCTACCTGGCCATATAAAAAGAAAAAAAATTGAGATGGGAGAATAAACTATCTCTCATCATCATCATAATTTCAGAAATTATCTTCCTATAAATATAATATAATTACTAGTGATAAGCATTATTAGTTAAGGAGGGTACCTAGTAAATGACGTGCTGGCTCGCGATTTCAAGACAGACTAGATATCGCACGCTTAAAATTGTGTGGTCTAATTGTTCCTTTATACACAAATGGCACATCTCTTTTAAGACGCTTTTGAATTTAGATGAGACAGTCTCGTAAGGCTCTAAGGATTGTGACAGCAAATTGTGTAGTAGTTACAGAACTTTTAAGTTTTTTTTTACCACAGAATGTCCCTTTACTATGATTAATTTCTAATAGAGTAAACAAATAATAGTGAAGGACATGCGTTTGTGCATGCTTGGGCAGATTTCGTTAATGTCCTTTAAATGTAAATCAATAGAAGTGATAAGCAAAATTTCAAGAACATATCCCAAGTGAATCAAGACCGTACCGACGATTTTTCTTCTTAAAACTTAACAAATTATCTCTCAGGTATCCCAAGGAGACTTTGGATCTGATCTTGAGCGACAACAACATCAAAGATCAGCAATGGAGTCGTTTCCTGGTATTCCTTGTCAAACACCCGGAAGCTGGGTCAGTTTACCGCGAAGCCTTGCAGACGGCCAAGAAGCCGCGGCTGATGCAGCTGCTAGCAGCGAGCACGCAGCCCGACCGCGCCGAAATGCAGTTCCAGGCCGTGCGGGTCATCTCCCTACTCATTAAATACGATGACCAGTGGCTGTCTACGCAGCACGACCTCATTGAACTGCTCAAGCGGATCTGGTGTAGCGATCAGTATCATGTGAGTTGACAAACTTTTTTTCTAAGGTTTAGGCGTGGCTATCTTTTTGTGTATAGTGCAATACAATCAATAGCGCAGCGCAGGTACTTAAACCCGCTGTGTATGATTTGACTTAACCTTTAGAACTGCTTAAAACACTAAAACTTCCCGCGGCAGAATGAAAGTTTTTAGTGTTTACAGCACTTCTAGAGGTTATTTCAAATCATACTCGGCTAGTAAAAGTACTTATCTTCCACTTTACGAAAGATAGTAGCCAAATACTTTTCTGCGGCAAAGGATGCTGGCCAATGTGGGATAGGGGAATAGAGTCCAGATCTAATTGACTTACCTTAATTCCTTCCTCTCGTAAAGGTTAAACCAAGCCGGCACTCCACATAGCTAATGGTATATGCTTTTTGTAAACATGACAGCAGTCGCTCCATTTCATTCCCTCTATAGTATGATAAGTACAACTTTCAAAATGACAAAAAGCCAATACGAATGGCCATGTCAAGTAATGAAAGAGATCGCGGAAATAGTATAAGTTAGACAATTCGGCCCCAGTACGCCAAGGTACTTATCCCTGCTGCACTTGTCTGGATTTCACTTAGTAATATTATGAGGTATAGTTATCTGCCATATGTTCTGTTCTGTGTAAAGAAAAGGAGATTGACATTGTCAAACAGTAATAGGGTATTTGACAAGTTTTAGAAAACGATCTCACGTTATTGACTAATGTTTATGGAGTCCGTAAAAAGTGGATATTCACCATTCTGTTGTGTATCAGTTCAGACAAAATAACCAAATCAAGAACTCCATTTTCAAATTGCCGCGAAAACGTTTCTCTGGACAATATGGCGTCTTACTAGTGTGTGACGTCACACGACTGTTATTAAAACGTCAAACGATACAATGTCATGTCACTTTAACCGGAAGTTTATTTGCGTGTGACGTCATTTTAGGCTCCGCCAATCCCAAGCGTTTTGGGACACGTGACAATAGACAAGAAAACTATTATCTTTTTCGTGGGTTTTTAGTAAAATTATGAATATCTTTTTTTGTAAAAATAGTAAAAACACCTGCCAAAATTTATTCTAAACACAGATGCTAACAATTGGCACTTTATTTTTAATACTGTAAAATACCCTATCTTGTTGCATAACATTCTGATCTTTTCAGGAAAGCCATAAAAAAGTGGAGAATGTTGACTGTACTCATTGGAAGGAACCAAAATTGATTGTGAAGATACTTTTACATTATTTTACCCATCATCCATCTAACATAGATTTGTTGTTCCAAATGCTGCGGGCATTGTGTGACCGTTTTGTTCCTGACTTCCAAGTAACTATACTTTTCAATGTTTTGTTTTGATTTCGTATCATATTGTAAGTTATAAAATATTATAATGCCACATTTGCTTTTCAGTTTCTGCGAGATTTCTTAGAAAACACCGTTGCCCAAAATTACACTGTAGAATGGAAACGTTCGGCGTTCTTTAGATTTGTGGAGCATTTTGCTAGTGACGCCATGTCTCAGGATCTAAAAGCCAAGGTTCTGCAAATGATCTTGATACCGTGCTTCGCTGTCAGCTTCGAGAAAGGACAGAAGATAGTTGGTGGTCCACCAGCACCGTATCAAGACAATCCTGATAATGTTGTCTCCGTGTTCATTAACAATGTAAGTTATACAAACAACATAACATAACATTTCAACATACCTATTTAAGAATTTGTGTTGAAATAGATCTTGGATATTAGCCTTATTATGCCAGTATTTCTGTTTCCTTATATTTATAGTTTTAATTATTTACTTAAGTATTTTACTGTGTTTTTGTTATATTGTTGAACATTAAAAATACTTTAAAATTTCAGGTGATCGACCCCGAGAATCCATTTGCGTGTTCCGACGCAGTACGCATATCGCTGCTGCAGTTCGCTTGCCTATTATTAGAGCAGGCTTCTGCTCATATTCACGACGCGAACAACAAGAAGCAGGGCAACAAATTAAGGAGGCTCATGACCTTCGCGTGGCCCTGCCTGCTTGGCAAGAACTATGTTGACCCGGCTACTAGGTATTAAGGTTTAGAATTGCTTTTCATTTGGATTTTTTTTTACTGTGAATTTCGTTTTATACGGCTTCGCCTGTTCCAGATATCACGGACACTTACTTCTCAGTCACATTATAGCGAAGTTTGCGATACATAAGAGAATCGTCTTACAAGGTTAGTAACTTAATTAAACATATAAAAGTGTTTACCTACTTAATATAACAACTCCCGTGTATTGGTCCAGCTAAATCACGATCGTGGGTCTTTCATGTGGAAATCTGAAATATCTTTTGTTATTATTATATTTGTAACAAGAACTTTTTGGTCTACCCCTTAAATAATCTTTAACGACTAGGTATTCCGTTACGAGAGAATTTGAAATTTCAAGTCTTATGTGAAGTGCTTCCTCTTTCATGAATCTAATGGCATATTGTTGTTGTCAGTATTCCACAGTCTATTGAAGGCTCACGCTGTGGAAGCGCGTTCGGTAGTTCGTCAGGCGTTAGAGATCCTCACGCCGGCGATGCCGCAACGCATGGAGGACGGAAACACGATGCTCACGCACTGGACCAAGAAAATCATCGTCGAGGACGGACACTCGGTGCAGCAGCTGTTCCACATACTGCAGCTAGTTGTGCGTCATTACAAGGTCTGTACTTTACTGTGTTAATAGGTCTTATAGCGAAGGAAGCGCCTTAGAGATCTTTGCGTCGGCTGTTGCCGCAACACATAGAGGACGGGAACATGATGCTCACGCACTGGACCAAGAAAATCATCGTCGAGGACGGACACTTGGTGCAGCAGCTGTTCCACATACTGCAGCTGTTTTTCTTTACATTACTGTATTAGTTCTTCCAGCAATGGAAGCGCTTTGGAAACCCTTTAACCGATGAACGTGATGCTGCAATACATGGAGGGTAAAATTATTTTACTCCTGTGTGTGGGGAACATTATTTGTGAAAAAATTAAGATATTTGTTGTCAAATTACATGTTTGTGTGTTAATTTTTTTTTTACACATATATCCTTTTATGTTTAATTTATGCTACTTTTATAGTGTTTTGTTGCGAATACTGGTGTGCAGAATTAGAACTCAAAACTTTCCGTTTATATTTTATTAAGGATGACTTATTTTATTAGCTACTCTATATTTGACATTGTGCTACTCTATGATGTGAAGATATACTGTTGTATACGCAGGTTTACTATCCAGTGCGTCACGCATTAGTAGGGCATATGGTGGCAGCGATGCAGCGGCTTGGTTTCTCGGCCACTGCATCACCTGAACACCGCCGCCTCGCTGTCGACCTGGCCGAGGTTGCACTCAAGTGGGAGCTGCAGAGGATACGCGACCATACGCACGATGACACAGTGGTCAGTATGCCTTGTATCCAAAATTTCGAGTTGTATTCATCTTTACAAGATAATTTTCCTTAATGCCGTCAGTTAATTTGGCTATTCGTGTTTGCTATTTTTAAACTTGACATGAGTCTGTCCTCGTCATTCCTTATAGAGCATGATAAGGACAGACTGTTGTCAAGTTAAGTTTACAAAGAGCAAACATGTATAGACAAGTGAAGTGCAGGCATTACATATATAATTCTTTTATTACCGAAATGGGGAGTATTTGAGTGTTTCAGTATTCACGTAAACTATTGACTATTTTTGCCTAATCTTGTTTTTTTTTTATAAATTATATTTAACGAGTACAAATCTGTGATGTCATATATCTTTCCTTATTTTTCTACAACTGCGCAAGGGATACGGCGGAAAAACCGCAAGTACTTGTATGAAGATCAGTGCCAGTGCTTTTATAACATTGCATATACCCCGCGGCGAATCCGTCGTACGGCCCTAACAATAGTTTTGTTTTCATATAAATACTTAGGGCTTAGAAAGCAATTGGCGTCAGCAGGTGGCGACATCCCCGAGCGGCAGTATAAAGCGCATATCGGGCGAGGAGGGCACTTCGGATGCGCGCAAGGCGTTGAATACTGGCTGGGCCAGTCCGCAGGCGGCGGTGTCGCGACTTGAACCCGACGCGGCTAAACCGCTCGATAGGCAGCACGTTGACGTAGTCGTCAACCTACTACTTAGGCTAGCCTGCCAGGTAAGCATTCTTATATAATATCTATAAATAAAGGAAGGGAGGAGGCATACACAGCTTTCTCCTCTGTCGAGTTGGGCATATAAAATGGGCATGCAAATGATATATGTGTGTAGGATTTGCCGGTGTACTGTGACATTGTTTATGTGTGAGTGTAAATCATTAAAGTTTCGTTTTTTATGCATTTAAGTTAAACTTGTGTGGATTGCCCTCCCCCCCCCCCCTCCACCCGCCAAAAAATGGCAGAATGATTTGAATAGTATTATGTCGCTATGGCTACTTCCTTCCGTGTAGCTCTATGATAAACAGTTCTTTAACCTATGTAACCTTTCTAGTGCCATATTGTTATTTAATTTTGTGCAAATTATTATGTTCCTTTTTTATTAATTGTATTTGTTTGGGTTATGTTGAAGGAACATAATTTTGATTCATAAATAAAAAAAAAATACCAAAAGTGTCATGTGTAGAGTAAACATCTTATAGAATTTGAATAATAATAAAAATAAAAGGTCAACAAGAGAATATCACACAATCCTTTGAGCTAGATTTAAAAAAAAATTGTAGTTGTTGTAGTTCAGTAATTTGTGTAGCTAAGTAGATTTTTTTCAAAATTCATTTAGTAACAAACGAATCTTTTTTTACACAAAATATGAATATTTTTACTTACTATATATATATATTTATTGTAGTACTCACTCGAGTGGCGTGTGGCGGCGTTTTGTACCGTGCATTAGTGGCCGGTGCGAGCCACAAGAAGCGAGCAACGACGATTTGTAGCGTGTGGCGGCCACCGGTGTTAACCGTGTACGGCAAGTCCATATAAAATGTATGAAAACTACAGGAAATATGCCGGTGGCGGCGTTTTGTGGTTGTGGCTGGTGGCCCGTGTGCGGCTACACTAAACTCGACCGCAGCTTGTGGACACGTTTAGGCTCAATTTGCGTTTGCTCTTAATTTCGTATATGCTTGTAAGGTGAACGAAGGCACAGTGGGGGCAGCTGCAGGCGCGGGCAGTGGCGCTGGAGCCTCCCCGGGCGAGCAGCTGTCCCGGCGCTGCGTGATGCTGCTGAAGGCGGCGCTCAAACCAGACGTGTGGCCGCACCAGTGCGAGCCCAAACTGTCGTGGCTGGACAAGGTACTGACGTAATGAGGGCACAGTAATTATATTTGCATTTTAAAAAACTAAATTGGCAGTACTCTGTTATTTAAAGTATAATAAGGATATACTGATATACTGCGGTCAAATTGACTTCAGGGTGGCAGTACAGTGATAGAATCAGACCCTTTCATACCTTAATTTAGAATATTTTATTGCATCGTTCTCAAGTACAATACCTACCCAAATTTTCATAATAATCTCAAATCTGATTGGTTGTTGTTCATAAGGTGTTCTCAACGGCAGACAGCAACGCCGCGGCCTGCGCTAACGCTTGCACTGCCTTAGAACTTCTCGTGTTTTTACTGGGTGTGTTGCGAAGGGAGCAAGCCCTAGCAGCTCTGAAACCATTGCAACGCGGCCTGGCGGCTTGCGTGTCCTCCACCAATGCTAAGATAGTGCGCCTTACGCACAATCTACTGGCGAAGCTGACGGCACTCTTCCCCACAGAACCTTCGGGTGCTGCTCAAGCTTCAAAGGTAAGGAGATGGTCCTTTTAAAAATTATACGATGTTTAAGTTCACATTGTTACAATAGGTGTAGCATCTAGCTCGTTTAAATAGAAAAGAAAGGGTAAACGAGTGGAGTGACCCAAGTTATTGTCCCAACATGAAACCAAGGAAGTACGACTCACCAGTATTTAACTGCTGTAGTTATACAACTCTACCTCACTGTCAGTGAAGTGCCCCATAACTGGATTTCAGCCCTATCATACGGTACCATACGGTAGGGCTGAAATCCAGTTATGGGGCACTTCACTGACAGTATAAATATTCCACACACGGAGGTAGACACAGTAAACTGTTGTTTCTTCAAATGTTTTTAACGCACGGCGTTATTACGCTGCTTCGCGACCCGGGTCACAGGCGAACCAGGACGTTTCTTGTTAGTTTTTCATAGAGGGCGCTACTTGTCTATGGCGGTAGCGGATGTGAGGTAGCAACTGTCCATACGGAAGCCGCATCACATGATTAAATGTAGGAACGTACAACTATGAGTCTATAGGTACTCAACATTACCCCCTACCGAAACCAGTATTATGGTTTCCACTTAGAAAAAAAGGAAAATTGAAATGAAACTTACTGTAAGAGCCAATTATAATTAGAACAAAAAAACGTTTAAACGTTAAACTTAATTTTCTACTATATTTACTTTAATCTTAAAATAAGAATGACAATTTATGTCAGAAAACCTTTAATTATTTCTTCATTGTTCCAAATTTAGTAAATAAGTTACCATTTGAAATAAAAAACGCACTAAATAAAGGAAACATAAAATGCACATTAAAAAGTCACTTTATCAATAACCTAAAAATAATTCATTTAAAATAACCGTTACAACGAACTTAAAATAAAAACATTAAAAAAAAGTCATATTTATCATTACAATTGGAGCATCCTTTATCTAGGATAACTGCACTTCGACTTGTATGCTAGCATGAAAAAAACAACTTACCCAGCCGGTATAGGTTCGTGCGTCTTTTGTGACCTGCATGTACAGGCGCAAATTAATTATCAAGCCTCTCAATGTTTACTATTTCCAACATACCCACATATTTTATAAAATATTGTTATTTAATAATAGTTACTACAGTGTGAAAACCTATATTTATTTATTGTAACTAGACGTACAGCGGTGAATGTAGTGCACGAATAAACCTTTCTGGTTTTTGTTTGCACTATAATATGTATTATAATTGTAATATTGCTTGATTAAATAAATAAATAATAATAATAAAAAAAAAATTATATGGTAAAGGACTAAGCTTATTAACAGGTCTTTGTAAGATGCTCCTTTCGGTACGTAGCGTCACACAGCGGACTAAATTGTCAGAACCTGGGTGAAGCTTTTCTATTTTGCCTAAGGGCCATTTACAGGAAGGAACATCATCAGTTTTAATAAGAACTATGTCGCCAACTTTCAAATTAGCTGAAGATGTAAACCACTTTGCTTGTTGTTCTAAAGTATTCAAATATTCACGACTCCAGCGTTTCCAAAACATCTGAGAACACTTTTGCACATATTGCCAACGAAACAATCGATTCATGTCTACGTCATGAATGTCATACTCAGGTATAGCGGTTAAGCTTTTGCCGATAAGAAAGTGTCCTGCCGTTAGAACGTTGAATTCGTTAGGGTTGTCGCTAGCCGGTAACGGACATAAAGGGCGCGAATTTAAGATAGCCTCTGCCTTACAAAACATAGTAGAAAGCTCCTCGAACGTCAAGGATTTTTCACCTACGCTTCGAACTAAGTGATATTTCGCTGCCTTAATGCCAGCTTCCCAAAGACCTCCCATATGGGGAGCACTAGGTACTTTAAATTTACAAACTAACTGTCTTGCGGCGTACCCTTCCTTTACGAGCGATAAAACGGTCTAAACACGTAAGAAAACAATCCGCGGAGAGGGAAGAAAACACCTCAAGATGAACAGCTTTCGTTGAGAAGCATATAAATAAAGCTAGATAAGCTTTTGAAACCTTTGCGTTACGACGTAAACTTTCCTTTATAAAGAATGGACCACCGAGGTCTACTCCAACGTGAGAAAATACTTTGTTAGGTGTTACACGAGTAGGAGGCAGAGGTGCCATCTCTGTTTGTAACAACTTAGGTTTGTTTTTAAAACAAATTTGACATTTAGATAATACGGATCTAATAACGCTACGAGCGGAGGGAATCCAATAATTTTCATTTAAAATGCTGTTTAATGTGCGCGGGCCTACGTGCAAGTATTTTCGATGTAAGAAATCAATCAGTAATCTAGTGAATATGCTATGCTGAGGAAGTAACCGCGGGTGCTAAGTGTTATAAGGAAGCTCAGAACAACTCAAGCGACCCCCTACCCTGAGAAAGCCCTCTGCGTCGAGAAAAGGAGATAACTTTCGCAAAGAAGGTACGTGTTTATTAAGCTTGAGTAATTTAATTTCATGTTGAAAATAAGCAAGTTGAATTAACTTAATTGACGCGTTCATAGTACCATTCAATATATCGGTGGTTAAGAGTGCGGACTGACCGACAAAATGATTTTTCTCGCGTAATAATTTTATAATCCATGCAAAGGTGCGGTGCAATTTAGAAAATGATGAAAAAAGACTAAATACTCGTTTGCAAAATTCCCGCTTGGATTTTTCCAGACTATTCTATCATATCATATCTTGTGTTAACAAGGCGATGGATTTTTTAAGTTCCGGTAATTGAATTTTACTTTCGTTGGTAACGACTAGACTGTAATCGGCCATTCATCATAATTTTGGTACATCCAGTCGGCGCCCACTAACCACGGTAGTCTACATTCAACAAGCTGCGTCGGCGACACGCCGCAAGAACAAATGTCAGCTAAATTATTTACTAGATACATGCCGCCAGTAGAGGGGAGGCAATATTTCTATAATTTGAGTCACACGGTGACTAACGAAAGTTTTTAGTTTATAAGGTTCCACTTGGAGCCACAACAGTACGACTGTCGAATCTGATAGTGCAGTTATTTTATTTATTTTTACGCGTGTAAAGGTGTTACAGAGAAATTTAATTAATTTACCGAGCAAAACTGCACCCATTAGCTCCAATCGAGGGATAGTGACTTTCTTTACTGGTGCAACTTTCGACTTTGCCGTTACTAAACGTACCTTAACATTATTTTTATCATCGCTACTTATGACAAACACGCACGCTGCATAACCACGACAAGACGCGTCACAAAATCCGACCAACTCGCATTCTGTTTGACCCGGCAATAACATGTGGCGTTCTATACGAAGATCAGCTAGTAAAGGAAGTTCCAAGATAAACTTTTGCCACTTGTCTTTCAAGTCATCCGGAAGACTTTCGACCCAACCAATACCTAACTTCCATAAGTCTTGCATGATACCTTTAGCGACGAAGGTACAAGGCGCGATAAAGTCCGCGGGGTCATAAATCGACGCTAAGAACCTGAGCACCGAACGTTTCGTGGATGTTTCATCTGTTTTATTTGCAGAGAAGCCAAAATGATCCGTAGTAGGAACCCAATTAAGGCCTAATACCTTAATGGAGCAATCGTTTTCATCGCCCACAAATGATATAGCGCCTTCCCTATGTTCAATTGGTACGCGGTGAAGTAAATGCTCGCTATTGCTCATCCACTTTTTTAAGGTAAAGTTGGCACTTTGAAAAATACCTATTAATTGATCTTGAGGATACACAAGCTTGCTCGTAAGAGGTACATGAGTACAAAATGTCGTCCATGAAAATCCCTTCACGGATAACCTGAGCTGCAAGTGGGAAACGTTCCCCCTTATCTATTGCCAATTGTAGTAATGTCCGCATGGCTAAAAACGGCGAGCAACTAAGACCGTAAGTCACGGTGTTTAATTCGTATATTTTTATAGGTTCATTAACAGATTCTCTATATAATATGTGTTGATAAATACGATCTTCCTTTCTCAACGTAATACCACGATACATTTTACAAACATCACTCACCAGGCAAATCTCGAAAAGTCTAAAATTTGAATTTTATCGCTACAATGTCGCGGTATAGTTTCGGTCCAACGAGAAGAATATCATTTAATGAGACGTTATTATTACTTTTAGCAGATCTGTAAAACACAACCCGCAATGGCGTCGATGTACTACTACTGGGGCGCAAAATACTATGATGTGGGATAATAAACTGAGTAGGTGTGTCGCCTTGATATACTTGCATATGGCCGAGACTTTCGTAATCATGCATAAACTCGATATATTTTTGTTGCAATTTCGGAGCACGTTCTAGTTTGCGTTCCGTGTAAAATAACCTACGTTCGGCCGCGGCACGCGTCTCGCTGAGAGGCGGGTGATTCGGTACGAAAGGTAACGGAACGACATATCGCCCGTTCGATTCCCGGGTGTGCTCTTTAACAAATATTTGCTCTGCTAACTGGTCCATAGGGTTGACTATAGGTGTACACGGTACTTCCTCAATCTCCCAAAATGAACGTAATGTTTTTTATAATGATTGTTCCTTTTCATAGGTTAAAAGATAGATGAAAGTTTTGAGAGATATTATTTTCAAGTGGACACAATTTTCCGCTTATAACATACCCAAATACAGTTTTAATGACACTGGGAATATTATCATTAATTATTAACGGTTTATCCGTGATAAGTAATGGTACAATATCATTACCTAACAAAATATCGATTCGAGATCGTTTGAAAAAGAATGGATCGGCTAAATTAAATGAATTTTATTCATTAATAACATTTTTTGGAAAAGGAATATTTGGCATGTCAGCTGCCACCTTGGATACGACAACTAAATTAACGTTGAATGTCGGACCGACCGAGTTAACGGGTTTTAAGGTGCAAGTAATCATGCCCTGATTTTTAATAAAACCACCGCCTAAGCCATTTATAGTAAAAGGACATTTCCTACGAGGTAAACATAACCTTTGGGCGCATTCGGTAGTTATAAAAGAGATCTGAGCTCCAGAATCTATGACTGCACGGCAGTTTGAATTTGTGCACAAATTCAATGAATGGACACGGTCCTTTCGTGCATCGACATTGATCACATCGATAGATCATATGGTTTTGTTTACAATGAGCACAGACTAGTTGACTGTTCACTTTGCGGTTGTAATTATTCTGCACTCGCGTTGTCGCTAATACAGATTTTAAAGACGACTGTTTATTTATACTACCTTTATAGCTATTATAATAACCGGCAGGTTTTTGTAAGCTTGACGAGCTAACCGAGTTATTCACGTTTGACAATGTACTATGTTCTAATACTTTTATCTGCTTATTGACAAAAACTATGATTTCAGACAAAAGGTAGGAATAGAATTTTGATCTCTCTCCTCTTCAAATAACCTTCTAGTGTGTTCACAAAGCCAAATGACAAAATAAAAAGTCATCCAAATTTTTAATATTTAAAGCTTGAATAGCTTTAAGTGAATGATCGAATGTTTCGATAAATAAGGTAAGGTTCGCAGCCGTATCTTTATTAAGCGGCGAAAAGTTTAACATTTTATCAAAATACCTACACGCCAGCGTTCTATTGTCGTGATACTTATCAATAAGACTTTGCCAAACTAACGAGTAATTAGCACCAGTAACAGGTAGTTTTTTTGCAATATTCAAAGCGGATCCCTTTAGACAAGATAATAAATAATGAAATTTATCAATATTAGAGAAGTTTCTATTGTGTACTAATGATTCATAAGTGAACGAACGTGTCATAAAAGGTAGTCCAATCTTCTATTTTACCATCAAAGTTAAACAGAGATAATTTAGGTAAGGCAGGGGCCACGAAATCTTGTTTCTCGGACTTAGCTAAAGTATCACTATGATTTTTTAACACTAACTGACATGCAGTATACATCGTATCGAAAGATTCAAGATCACTTAGCGAATTTTTTTTTTGTAGAATGTATCTGGCTTTCGATTTCTATTATTTCAAAAATGGCGGATTCGAATTTATTACGGATACTTTCCATTTCGGACATTTGTACTAAAAATATTGGTAATTGATCCAAATCGCTATCAATTGTTTTGGAAACCTCGTATAATCTTTGTAACTTGGTAAATAAATACTGTTTTTTACAAGTCAAAGCATCTCTTTTCACTTCTAATTCTTTCTTCGCGGACACAGACGCCGACAACGCCATATTGTTTATTATAAAATTATAATTTGCAAAGTGGTTTATAGTCACTAATTCAATCGATTTTGGCTCTGAAGGACCAGAAAATGTAGCATCTAGCTATCGTTTAAATAGAAAAGAAAGGGTAAACGAGTGGAGTGACCCAAGTTATTGTCCCAACATGAAACCAAGGAAGTACGACTCACCGGTATTTAACTGCTGAAGTTGTATGGTAGGGCTGAAATCCAGTTATGGGGCACTTCACTGACAGTATTAATATTCCACACACGGTGTTAGACACAGTAAACTGTTGTTTCTTCAAATGTTTTTAACGCACGGCGTTATTACGCTGCTTCTAGGGTCACAGGCGAACCAGGACGTTTCTTGTTAGTTTTTCATAGAGGGCGCTACTTGCCTATGGCGGTAGCGGATGTGAGGTAGCAACCGTCCATACGGAAGCGGCATCACATGATTAAATGTAGGAACGTATAACTATGAGTCTATAGGTACTCAACAATAGGCTATTTGAAAAATGTTTCAAAAATGTTCATACTTTATTATGGACTCCATAGAAGTATAATCACTTCTATGGAGTCCATCAGTAAAAAAACGAGGATAAAAATTCTGTTCCCAAATATGGCCTGGAAACGTCTAGCAAATATGGCGTCTTACAGGGAGGTGACGTCACACGGCTCTTATTAAAACGTTAAACAGTACAAAGTACTGTCACTATACACTAATAAATGACGTAAGAACGTTTTCAGAAACTTGTCTTTTATTTGAAATTACTGTGAGGCTGTTTCACAGTAATTACAAGTTGCAATCGCAAGCTAATGAGATTATGAAAAGGCATAATACTCATAAGATGATTAGCAAAAAGTAAAATCATAGTTTTGCTCTTTGCTTAGTTGCAAGGATTTAAAAGTAGATTATTCTCTTTTTCATATTGCATTTTCAGTATGAGGAACTAGAAACGCTGTACGCGTGTGTTAGCAAGTACGCCTTTGAGGGTTTAGCGACATACGAAAAGTCAGCAGCCGGCGGCGGTGCCGGCGCTCTGTTGGGGCCTCTGATGATGCTGAAGGCGTGCTGCACCTCCAGCCCCGCGTACATCGATCGCCTGCTGCTGCCGCTCATGCGCGTGCTGCAGCGGATGGCGCGCGACCACGTGGCGCCAAATCCTGACACCGCTACGTCAGACCTGCTGGTGAGTGCCGCCCGGACTGATGTGCTCCAGACGTGCTGCAGCCCAGCCTCGCGTTAATTGACCGCCTGCTTCTGCTGCTCATGCGCGTGCTGCAGCGGATGGCGCGCGACCACGTGCCACCTGCTGGTGAGTGCCGCCCGGCTGATGTGCTGCAGGCATGTTGCTACCGGCATAATGTGCTCACTATATCACTGAAAACCCCGAGATTATAAACTTCGGTCATCATTTTTTGCCAAAAGTTCCATTACCCAATTTTAGAGAAAGATGACTTCTAAGAATGCATGCAGCAAGACGATTACTATCGTGTCATCATAGTTCTTGAACTTTTATTGCTTTGAAACAGTACTCCTATTTTTCGAGATTAAATCGTTTCTGTCGAATCCATTGTGTACTTGTAACATCCACATTGTCTGATCTAAAATTCGTTCTGTTTTAGATACTTGCTCTGGATCTACTAAAAGCTAGAGTCTCGGTTATGCCAGTTGACACAAGGAAGACGTTCATTGGAACAGTCCTCGTTGGGTTAATAGAAAAGACGACCGATGCCAAGGCAAGTTATAAAGTATTAATTTTTTGAGCTGGGAATGAGTCTTGAGTTATAAAAATTGTAGTTCAAAGATAAATTTCGAGTGGGTACTTAGGTCACATGGTTTTTCCTATTTTTAGTGCCCACAGATCCTTAGTTTTTAAATATCTTGTACTTTAGATTTATAAAAAAATCCTTGCAGTTTCGTTAAAAAATAATATGCTTGTAACGGAAATTCCATAAAGTACTTACAGACATTTTATTACGTTATGCTGATTAAAAAAGATATTAATTAACACATAAATAACGAGAAACTTTATGGATAGGTTATGAAAGCGATCACACGCATGGTAGAAGAATGGGTGAAGAACCGTAGCGTAGCGGGAAGCGCGGCGCCTTCCCTTCGCGAGAAGTCTATCCTGCTCGTCAAACTGATGCAGTACGTCGAGAAACGTTTCCCGGATGACCTGGAGCTCAACGCGCATTTCTTGGATATGATCAACTATGTGTACAGGTAACATTATATTCTGCATTTGTTTATTTATGAGTCGCCATATAAGATTATTAGAATCGTAGCGTAGCGGGAAGCGCGGCGCTTTCCAATCGCAAGTCGGTCTTGCTCGTCAAACTGATGCAGTACGTCGAGAAACGGTTTCCGGATGACCTGGAGGGGACCAAAAATTTGTGAAACTAAATATCTATTTCATTGTCGTTATTGAGGTTCCGACTAATGGCAGTGAAGGTATGGAACGCAAAATGTCAGTATCTTGTAATGTCATTGATCTTGTTTGTAGGTTTAGATGTATCGTGACGTCACTTCCAAGCGTTTGAAAATAGCGCGCGTTTAAACTGTCCCTGCAAAGTGGCTATTTTTTGTACTGTGTAAAAAAGATGTAAACTACTAAATATATATATATATATAAAAAGCGAGTGTGCTTATGACCACACGACTGAAGTGAAGCTTCTTTAGCTCCAATGATCTGAAAATCATAAATCGGCACTGGGTCCATTATCATCCACCAATCCGCGCTGGGTCCATTTTCACCTACCAATCTGCACTGGGTCCGTTATCACCCATCAGTCCGCGCTGGGTCCGTTATCACCCTCCAATCCGCGCTGGGTCCGTTATCACCCACCAATCCGCTCTGGGTCCGTTATCACCCACCAATCCGCACTGGGTCCGTTATCACCCACAAAGCAATAGATTCATGTATTTTGTGACGGGTATGGTTCGTTCTACCGATGACACTAATCGTAACGCGAAATCGTAAAGAAATTTCACTTCAAAAATCATGCATAGTCCCTATTGTTCTTCGTTTCAGCATGTTTTTTTTTTCACAGAGATGAGCACTTGAAAATGACAGAGTTATCCATGAAGTTAGAGCCGGCATTCCTGGCTGGGTTGAGATGCCCGCAGCCAAATATTCGAGCCAAATTTTTCGAAGTTTACGACCAAAGCGTCCGTAGACGAATATTCGACCGGCTGCTCTATATCATATGCTCGCAGAATTGGGAACATATAGGCCAACACTTCTGGATAAAGCAGTGTTTGGAACTGTTGCTCGTCACCTGTGTAGCCAGTAAGTATAATAAAAACTTCAGTTTATTAGTTTACATGTACATGGTAATTAATTCACTGCTTATAGGATGCTAGGCTAAATATGGTTGATCTGTACCGATCGTGCTTTCCACCCAAATATTGTACCCATATTCAATAAAATGAATTATTCTGATGATGTGGGATTATAAAAGGTGCACTAACAAACAAATTATAAGTTTATAGTTAGAATTATTATATTTGGTCAGATTTCTAATAACTTTTACCGTAATAAACATAATTTATATTATTTTCAATAAAAATAAAAGTTGAATTTTGTTTATCAGGTACACAGATTCGGTTATCCAACACAAAGTATCTACTACCTAACATAGGAGCAGTGATTAACTGGGCGGATAGTGAAGAGCGTAAATCGTTCGTTATATTCAGCTCAGTGAAAGAGGAGTCATCCGATGGATTCAGCGATTCCATCGACCCGGATAAGGAGGACGTGCTCGATATGGATCTCGATTCTAGTTCTAATCAGAAAGAAGACGTCACTAAAAATGCTCCCAATAGGTAAGATGAATTAAGTACTAGTCGATTATATAATACTAATGTCTTTTATAAGCGATTATGTGATAAAGACAGCGTTCCACGAACTCGTTAGCATAGTTTACTCTCTTTCTCCGAAACGAAATTTCGATAACGAACGAAATTTCGCCACTGACTACGCTATTTCATTTTTGAACTCGCACAACAAGTTCGAAATCACAATCAATTTATGTGAACGAATGGAATGAGTCATGTTCGTGAGTTCTTTTTATCTCCACTTTTTACAAATAGCAAATACGAATAGCCAAGTGAAGTGTCGGCATGATTAAAGTTATTGCTGCCAGTTTCTTTGCTATAACCATAGAGTGAGACAAAACTTTTAAATGACTAACACTTTTGAATGATTAAATGTTCAGTTTATATGTCGTATCAGAGTTCAGCCGTAAAGATTAAATTAATTTTGTTCTCAGACAACGCGCTCTAACGCAAATCATAGCTAAACAAGCGGAGTTCTTAGAGTTGGCACGGCGCGTGCGCACAGAACAACTGGTGGTAGCGGCGGCTCAGCTCTGCCATATGGATGATTCTTTAGCACACCATACTTGGCTGCGGCTATTCCCTAGGCTTTGGAGCGCATTAGACGAGAGACAATTATCGGTGAGTCCTTACCGTAGTATATTATCTTAACAGTAACGGAACCTCACTCTAAGCGGCCTTGATTAAAAATACAGTAGCATTAATTTTAGGCTTAATTAAAACAAAGAGCCCAAAACGAAAATGAAAAGGTAACACTTAACAGTATAAAGCAACGGAACAACAGGTGGTGGCGGCGGCTTAACTCTGCCATATGGGGCGATTCTTTAACGCACCATACTTGGCTACGGCTCTTCCCTAGGCTTTGAAGCGCATTAGACAACAGACAATTATTAGCGGTCAGTCCTGATCTTAATTTTATTCTATCGTCAGCCTATGGATGTCCTCACTGCTGGGGCACAGGCCCTTCTCTATGGATGTAATAAGGAGAATCGGTGGATGCGGGAAAAAAATCCTGCTAATTCCGATTATTGCAATTATTAAAGGAAATAATCTCACTGTGTAACTTACATAAATGTTTTCTGATTTTCTAGACCGTAATGAACGAGATTGTGCCGTTTATTATATCCGGCGTTCATGTGATACAACGCGATCAACCACTTAGCGCCCTAAACACCTTCATCGAAGCTTTGGCACGTTGCAATCCACCGATAAGCATTAAACCGTGAGTTATATATTTCATAAGTTTGAACAAATCCTAAAAACTTTTTTAGATTATTTTACAATAGTCACTGTTATTAGGGTTCCGTAGCCAAATGGCAAAAAACGGAACCCTTATAAATTCGTCATGTCCGTCCGTCTGTCTGTCCGTATGTCACAGCCACTTTTTCCAAAACTATAAGAACTACTCCGTTGAAACTTGGTAAGAAGACGTATTCTGTGACCCGCATTAAGATTTTCACAAAAAAAGAAAAAAACAAATTTTCGGAGTTCCCCTATACTTAAAACTGAAACACTATATTTTTTTTTCTTCAAACCCACACGTATGGGGCATCTATGGATAGGTCTTCAAAAATGATATTGAGGTTTCTAATATATTTTTCTTTTAAACTGAATACTTAATGCGAGAGACATTTCCAAAGTGGTAAAATGTGTGACCCCTTGTAACTTCTAAAATAAGAGACTAAAATAAAAAAAATATTTATGATGTACATTACTATGCAAACTTCCACCGAAAATTGATTTGAATGAGATCTAGTAAGTAGTTTTTTTAATACGTCATAAATCACAAATTAATTAAAAAAACTACACTATTATTAAAACATCGATCAAAGTTACAACGAACTACAAGAGCTTTTATATTATGTTACTTGCTGCTACGGAACCCTTCATAGGCGAGTCCGACTCGCACTTGGCCGCTTTTATTCTTTATAAATTGAATATGTTTAAGGCTATATTTTCCACAGGCCAATGATGAAATACCTGGGTAAAACCCATAATCTGTGGCACCGCATGACGCTTAATCTGGAACAAATGGCCATCGATCAAGCAAGCGGCCGCGCGCAGCGAGAACCCCTTGAGATATACGACTACGACATCGAAACTACTACTCCGACAGTAAGTAACTTTATGAAAGTTTTAAACGTAGCTGAAATATTAATAAGTGATCATTATTTATGAGTTTCATGTTTGGTATGACTTATTTCATTAAAGAAAGCAATCAAAAATGCCGACGCAACACATTCTGTCTCTCTCGCACGTTACTTAGGATACTGTATGGGAGAGGAACAGAATGTTGTCATTTGCGATTCCATTTTTTTAATGACACGAGGTATAATGTTAAAAGAGAAGACACTTTTGGGGCCTAATTGTGTATACATTTATGGTTTGGTACAAATTGCAACTCGCACATGAATATTGTTATGTTTCATAAACTTTGAATTTGCTATACAAAAGCTCTCGATACTTTACAAAAAAAAAAGAAAATTGTATTGATTAAATTAAACATAAAATAGCAAGAAATAACTTTTGCCATTTCCAAATGAGATTATTTTATGTCACTTTGACATTTGCCGTAGCTATAAAGGAGATCGGTGAAAGAATAAATGTAGACAATCAGCTAACCGGTTTCTATGACAATTTCTTGCTTTTTATTATTATCATGTTTTTGTTATATAACAGAGGCCCAAACACGAATTTTTGATAGCAGCGTAAAGTATCGCATCGTCAAAGTTTCTATGAAAACTTAGCAGCCCCTCCTATCGGATGTAAGAACAAACTAGCTTTTTCCCTACAAAATTTGATGATGACGATACGGAGCTGTCAAAATTCGTGCTTGGGCCTCAGTATTTTTAAAAAAATATTTTAATAGTTGTCGTGTTAAATAATATGGTCTTGTGTTATATTCTAAATATGGTAACTAACTCATTTCATTTGTATGGCTACATTGCAAATAAAATTAGGGAAGGGCGCTGAAGCCAAAATACAGGATGAACTTCCTAGTTTGGCTGAGGATGTCTATATGTACTTTGTGTGAAACAATGGCCTTAGTTTTAACATATTTATAAGAATATTACCATGCACATTTTTTTACAAATTAATATTATTATTATTATTGTTATCGTAAAATCTATGATATTTGCCAATAGGAAATACTCGATTCTTTGAGCGATATGTACGAACTACTGCAAGAAGAGGACATGTGGTCGGGTTTGTGGCAGAAGCACGCCCGCTACCGGGAGACGAACGTCGCTATCGCGTACGAACAACAAGGCTTCTTTGAACAGGCCCAGGTAATATTTTCTTGTTTAAAGAATTTGGCATAATGACAGTCGCATCACAATACATATACGAAAACTTATTACTTGTAAGAAAAAAATAGTGACGTTCACACACTTAATACAAGAAATAAAAATAAATTAACTTGCTACTAGGCTTCACAAAATCAATAATTCATTTAAAGGTCTCTGTGTTCGCTTATACAATAAAGTCCATTTTAAATTCTTGTTAGGCTATCCCGCTCCGCTCTTTATTTCTGAGTTCATAATATCTTTGTTCTATTCTTCTGGGTATTTCTTCCCATCATCTACTTCTATTTCTCTTTAAACTAGATGAACTGAGAATCAATTTTGTTATTTGTTCTTTGCTATTATCTTTTTTGATTTGATTTTTGTTAGCGTAGAGATACGTAATAACATTTCTCAATAATAACGCGTAAATTTTCATATTTTCTTTTTAGGCTGCGTACGATATCGCTATGGCAAAACTGAAACAAGATTACGCCTCGAATCCGTCTGCTTACAATATGCATAAAGAGTGCAACCTTTGGACCCAACACTGGTTAAAATGTGCAAAAGAACTGAACCAATGGGATTCATTGCTGGAGTTAGGACTCACTAGGAGCTCTCGAGATCCCTTCCTGATTTTGGAAAGCTCTTGGAGGAATCCTAACTGGCCGACAATGAAGGACGCTCTGGCCGAAGTTGAATACAACTGTCCAAAAGAATTAGGTAAGTAGCGAGGTATTTTAAATATTCGAATGTAGATTTGCTTAAAATATAATTTGACGTATTATATTAAAAAAAAAACTTTAATAGAAAGATAGAAAGGTAACCAGCTCTTGCCTCGTCGACTTGGTGAAATATGGTCCTGGTTGCAAAATCCGTTTACAATTTTATATGTGTCAATAGAATCACCCCGCAAGCGCTTCTCTCTTCCAAGGTAGTAAGGTGGAGAACTTTAAGTCTCTCTTCAGAGGTTTAACGACGTAAAACATATTTATGGCACACTTTTAAGTAGATTGATATCCTGTTTAAAATAGGGACTCCAGACTTGTAATCCATACTCCAACAGAGGCCTTATATAAATATATATAAAATTCTCGTGTCACGGTGTGCGTAATTGAACTACTCCGAAACGGCTCGACCGATTTTCGTGAAATTTTATATGCATATTCAGTAGGTCTGAGAATCGGACAACATCTATTTTTCATCCCCCTAAATGTTAAGGGTAGTCCACCCTTAAATAATTTTTTTAGGACAATTTTTTTTGTTTTTATTTTTTATGATACTTCATACAAAATACAAACAACCCTAAATTTTCACCCTTCTACCACCAACCCCTATTTTTTATCCGGTACGAAGTTCGCTGGGACAGCTAGTATAAATATATATATATTAAAATTTGCACAATTTTATACCTTACCTCTTGTTACAATTTGGAACAAATAAACAACAATGGAAAAAAGGAATGACCATATCACGTATTGTCTATGACAGCGTGGCTGGTGAATCTGTACCGCGGCTACTTGTGCATCTGCGCTGGCGGCGAGCAACAGCTGACTGGCGTAGAAAGGCACGCGGAGGCGGCCGCGGCGCAGTGTCTGCGCGAGTGGCGCCGTCTGCCGCGCGTCGTGTCGCACGCGCACCTGCCGCTGCTGCGGGCCGCGCAGCAACTGATGGAGCTCAGTGAGGCCGCGCAGATACACACCGTGAGTAAACCATAGAGGTATAAGAATAGAGTAGGGGAGATATAGACTCTACTACAAGTGGAAGTGTCTTTCTAATAGAAAGAGAAAGAAGATGAGAGACCGCTAGCTTTCTCTCTCTAATCGCGCATGCGCATTGGCAACCGTAAGCATCTTACTATGTCGATGTGATGCTTGGATCAACTATTGGACAGACGACTGCGCATGCGTCACAAGAGAGAGAGATAGCTAGCGGTCTCTCATCTTCTTTCCCTTTCTACTAGACGAACACTTTTAGAGCCGCCTTCCCCACTCTATTCTTATACCAATATGGAGTAAACACCCTGGCAAACTTCTTCAGCATCGACCATAGACAAGGAAGCCTTTGCAGTAGCAATTTTACACGCAAAAACGTCTACTGCGTAACTTTATTTGTCTGTGGTTTTGCTCAAGAAGTTTGCTGCGACCTATACCCGCTGCCATTGCAAGCTGCTCAACGATTAATGGAACTCAGCGAAGCCTACAGTGAGCGTGTCTGAGATTCAAAAAAGTGTCGGGAATCAAAACCTAGCTTATGTTTGTCATTTTTTGTTCTATTTGTGTGTTGTCCTCTGGTCTTTGAAAAATATTTATCTAGAAAAAATTCCACAATTCAGGTTTCAGATGGAATTCGAATCCGCGTCTTCTGCTCAAAAAAATGAAAATGCGGGTTCGAATCCCGTCTGAAAACATCTAGCAGTTAAATGTTTAAAAAAAATCTTATAAAGTCAACTTATCAATATTACCTTTCGGACAGGGGCTCCTACACAGTCGGCCAACTTCGTTGCACGACATGAAGGCTATAGTGAAAACTTGGCGTAACCGCCTGCCCGTAGTGGCCGACCCGCTCTCCCACTGGGGCGCCATATTCACGTGGCGCCAACACCACTACCAGTTCATCGCGTCGCACTACGACTCGCAGGCGGAGCACGCCTCCAATCACAGCATGTTGGGAGTGCACGCTAGCGCACAGGTATGGAACGTTCGATTTTTAAAACATCATCAGTCTATTAATTTTCCTTACTGGTAGTCTTAGTCTCAATAGTACCGCGGGCTGTTTCCACAACTCGACACCCAGTAGTTTTAGTCTCAGTAGTACCGCGGGCTGTTTCCACAACTCGACACCCAGTGCCTATTTTGCGTGGGAATTGACATCAGTCCTGCCATCCCAGCTCCTCCAGAAAGCTCAGCAGTCCTCGGATGTTGCTGCAGGCTTCTACTAGTGTCCGCGGGGTTCCCAATAGAGAAGTCCTTTGTCTTGCAACGCCTCTGCACTCCAGTAGAACATGGGCGCTCGTCTCCTCCTCCAGGCAGATAATTCCTCACTGGTATTCCCTTTGCATGGAAAGGAAGAGGCATAAAGTTTCTCACAGACAGACGCGGTCTGCGGCCGCGGCCGGGGTGGCGGCCAATTGTATTCACTTGCAATGTAAACGAGTGGTTAAACAAGAGCGACCAATAAGGACAGACCGCGGCCAGTTTTATTCACTTGCAATGTAAGCGAGTGGTAAACAAGAGCGACCAGTAAGGACAGACCGCGGCTAGTTGTATTCGATTGCAATATAAGCGAGTGATCAAACACGAGCGATCAATAAGGACAGGCTGCAGCCGCAGGCCACGTCTGTCTGTTTTAACCCATCACGCGGGCCTCTAGATACTAGAGATACTAAAATTTTGGTCACCCATACGATGTCCGGCCATTGCGTAAGTTTCTTAATACCTTACTTTAAATATATACTCTTTATTGCCTGATTAAACATTGTTAAGCTGTCTGACCTTATCTGCTTTAGAGATCCATAAAAGTCTTTGATAAAACTACAAAAATAGCGATGCTGTTTTTTAACAAATTTCAAAAAACCGATACTTTTGTTTTAGGCTATTATCCATTTCGCAAAGATAGCGAGAAAACACAATTTGTCAGGAGTATGCTTGGATTCGCTGCATCGTATATACACGATACCGAGCGTACCGATCGTAGATTGTTTCCAAAAGATACGGCAGCAGGTCAAGTGCCACATACAGATGTCCTGGACTGAAGGGAAAGAAGAGTTACAGGAAGGGCTCGACATGATAGAGTCCACCAACTTCAAGTACTTTACTAAGGAGATGACAGCGGAGTTCTATGCCTTCAAGGGGTTGCTTCTGGCTCAATTGGGACGATCAGAAGATGCTAATAAGGCGTTTGCAGCGGCTGTGCAATTACACGATACTTTAGTTAAAGCGTGGGCGCTATGGGGCGATTATTTGGAACAGATATTCATCAGAGACCCGCGACAGACGACCGTCGGTGTGTCTGCGATGACCTGCTTCCTACACGCGTGCCGTCACCAGAACGAATCGAAATCCAGGAAATATTGTGCAAAGGTAAGTTAAACAAGCGCTATGGTTACTTTTTAATTTCTTCTTGGAACTGGTCGTCCTTTATTTCTTTCTTTAGATCACGCACGCTTAGGCATTGTCCTAATACAACGCGATAACGCGAATGAGCGATGCGATCATCGTACGAGTCGACGATCAAACATATTGATCTAGAATAGGTGTCCTAATAGGCGATCGCGCGATGCATTCGCGCGACTAAAATGTTTAAAAATCTATTCGCGCGAACCAAGTTCGCGCGAACGCGCAATCAAACCTATTAATGATGAATAGGTGTCCTAACTGAAGTTCGCGCGATGATCGCGTCGCGTCGATAGGAAGCGGGGAGAGGGGCAGGGCTAACCCGTTCCGTATTCGCGTTCTATTAGGACACAGTTCGCGATCACGCGACGGTCGCGTCGTATAAACGCGCGATGATCGCGTTATCGCGTTGTATTAGGACAATGCCTTACCCTTATTGTTAGTAACAATAAGGTATTGTTATACCTTCCATTATATATACATCGAGATCAAATAAATTTGTTGATTTTTTTTGTCTTACGCTTATTACACTTGCATCTATATTACACCACCTTGCATTTTACGCCCTTATTAAAACGTGGACTCAAGCTAGACTTACTTAAACCTAGTCTTTGTTATCGCTTTATATATAATTTCGTAAAAATGCGCTTAAAAATTTATTTTCCATGGCTTTTATGTAAAAAGAACCAACTCCCCAGGTGCTATGGATGCTGAGCTTCGACGACGAGAAGAACAGCCTTGCGGAAGCTTTGGACAAGTACTCGGTGGGCGTTCCACCCGTACAGTGGCTGCCGTGGATTCCGCAATTGTTGGCATGCCTCGTACAGTATGACGGGAATGTTATACTTAACCTGCTCAGCCACGTATGATATTTTGCACCACTTTAGTTATTTTTTTGAGCGCCAAAAAGTGTTAGAAAGAAAGAACTCAAAGTATAAATACATAAAAAAAAATATATATTTAAATAATTTTCTAAATAAATCTGCACAGGCCTTTTATTAGATCTATTTAATTTTGAAACAAAACTTAAGCAAATAATTTATTACCACGAGGAGAGCGAAAGCGTTCCTAAAATAGTAGTAAAAAAATGAATTATGTAAATAATTCTTTGTTGTTTAAAATATAACTACGTCATAAGCAGCATATTTACATCACTTACTTTCTATACGATCGAAGTGTTTTTTAAAGCTGGATAACTCTTATTTTTCGTAGGTTGGGCGCTTATACCCGCAAGCAGTGTACTTCCCCATCCGCACCCTTTACTTGACGCTGAAGATCGAACAACGCGAGAGACACAAGACCGCCGAAAACATTGCAGCACACTTACCACATCAGCCAGCCACCAATGCCGTAAGTTTGTAGTAATATATTTGTAAGGTTTGCAAAGTTTTTAGTTGTAATTGGTACTATAATAAGGTACCAAATTTATTTCTTATATAAGAAGGTTACAAACAAAATAATAAAAAAATAAAACACTTATATGTGGTGTTAGACGAAAATGAGAGAGTGCGAGAGAGTTAGTAAACTTCTCACATAACAGTCCGACCAGCTCTTATCATTATTATATTTAAACTAGGACATTTGACACAATTTTTTACATAAGCTACGGTATTGACACCGTTCATATACACGCCTGACCCGCGTGCATCTCCACTACGCCACCTGAGGGTGGGGGTAGCTGTTGCAGCACGCATCTGTTCTGCATAATCTTTTTCCTCATTGTGGACTTAATTTAAGCATTTCTTTTGTGAGCGTGTATTAATTTCCTAGGTTGGTTTATAAAGAATACTAGACAATTTTTGTATTGATATTGCGACAGGGTGGCAGTAAGGTGAACGAGGCAGCATCGTCGGCGAGCACCTCCGCGGGCGGCGAGGCCGGGCCTATCAAGGCCACGCTCCCCATGTGGCGGTGCTCTAAGATCATGCAATTACAGCGCGAAATACACCCCACCGTGCTCTCCTCGCTCGAGGGCATTGTAGACCAGGTAAGTGGGCGGCAGAAAGATGACCGAGGCCGGGCCTATCAAGGCCACGCTGCCCATGTAGCGGTGCTCCAAGATCATGCAATAACAGCGCGAGATACACCCCACTGTGCTCTCCTCGCTCGAGGGCATTGTAGACCAGGTAAGTGGGCGGCAGAAAGATGACCGAGGCCGGGCCTATAAAGGCCACGCTGCCCATGTAGCGGTGCTCCAAGATCATGCAATGACAGCACGAGATACACCCCACCGTGCTCTCCTCGCTCGAGGGCATTGTAGACCAGGTAAGTGGGCGGCAGAAAGATGACCAAGGCCGGGCCTATAAAGGCCACGCTGCCCATGTGGTGGTGCTCCAAGATCATGCAATTACAGCGGGAGATACACCCCACTGTGCTCTCCTCGCTCGAGGGCATTGTAGACCAGGTAAGTGGGCGGCAGAAAGATGACCGAGGCCGGGCCTATAAAGGCCACGCTGCCCATGTAGCGGTGCTCCAAGATCATGCAATGACAGCGCGAGATACACCCCACCGTGCTCTCCTCGCTCGAGGGCATTGTAGACCAGGTAAGTGGGCGGCAGAAAGATGACCGAGGCCGGGCCTATAAAGGCCACGCTGCCCATGTGGCGGTGCTTCAAGATCATGCAACTACAGTGCGAGATACACCCCACCGTGCTCTCCTCGCTCGAGGGCATTGTACATGCACCAAGTAAGTGGGCGGCAGTAAGGTGACCGAGTCCGGGCCCATCAAGGACACACTGCCTATGTGACACGAAAGAACAAACTAGCTCCTTACTTACTAGCTACTTACCTTACTTCTCGTCCGTTGTTTGTGCTTGGGGTAAACTGTTCTCGACGCCGAAAGTCAATCGCATTTTTTTGTCTTATTTTTCCATGTTAATGTAAAAACGATAGAATTGGAATAGTTTGCCAGGGCCCCATGCCTATTCACCACTTAATTTGTTCTTAGGAACATCAAAATATGACAGGCTCGGTGTTCATACAAGTTGATGCACATGCGACTTCTACTTTTATCTAGGTCTGTGGTATTGATTTTGTTAATAGGCTTGTCGAGGAGTTCGAGATCATGCAATCACAGCGCGAGATACATCCTACAGTGCTCTCCTGACTCAAGAACATAGTTAACACTGGTCTACAATGGTTATATACACTATTTATATAATGTTAGTAGAGACTGCTTAGTTTACGCGAGAAGCCTATGAAAATTCCGGATAAATCAACTTACCATTTAAATTGTTCACTGTTTTTTCTGATAGTGTTTATTGGTATAAACACTATCGTCGGGTCGTGCGATATGGAAGTACGCAGGAGAATTGGCATGGCAAAGGGTGCCATGTCTCAGCTTGGCAAAATCTGGTGAGATTGCAACATATCCGTAAAGACCCAAACCAGACTGGTACGTACTCTAGTCTTCTCTATCTTTTCGTATGGCGCTGAGACCTGGACCCTGAAAGCTGCAGATCGCAAACGTATCGACGCCTTTGTGATGTGGTGCTGAACAAAGATGCTCCGTATCCCTTGGACAACATTCTGGTCTTAAATCTCCATATTACGTGAAGTCAAAATCTCCTCACGCCTATCATCCGAGTGTTTGCGCAGAGTCCTTGAGTAATTCGGCAACATTGCAAGGAAAGACAGTGATAACCTCGAGAAGCTGATTGTGACCGGCAAAGTAGAGGGCAAAAGACCGCGTGGACGCAACCCAATACGTTGGTCAGACCATTGGTTGGTCAGATTCGCACCGCTCTAGACTCGACAGTCCACAACACCCTCCACACCGCCAAAGACAGGAACAGATGGGAGACTATCATACGGAAGAAAGTGATGCAGAAGAGAGGTCACGACCCTCAGTAATGAGGAATGTGACTCAAGGAGGAGGGGCTTGTAAGGGATCTTCTTATTAAATTAGTCTTTCGATTATAAAAGTTTTACTTCCTATTGCTGTCGATATCTGAATTCGGGATAGAGTCTGACCAACTGGCACTTTTGAAATAATACCTGAAAAAAGCAACCAACCTTAATCACAATACAGATTTCAAATTAATCAAAATGTAAAAAACTATTCTTAGAGATAATTTTCATGTATAAGAAATCACAGAAATATAAAACGACGTATTTACGTTAAAGAGCACGCATCAAACAAACAGTCGAAGTAATATGCAAAAAATATTTCTGAGGAAATTTTTGGCGAAAAGTAATTGCATCTTTAATTATGTGTATGTCAAATAAATTAAACTATAAAAACGAGGCAACTAGACGTGAAATAAATAAATAGATGGCAAGCTAAATAAATATTTTGGTTTAGGTTTTTTTTCGATAACAGGTTGACTTTTCGCGTTACTATTGCAATGTGTCAAAACGGCCATCATATTGTGTGCCGCGACTATAGTCAGAAACAAGTTCAAAAACCAACTTGAGTGTTTATATTACATTATTTTATAAAAAAAAATTTTTGTATCCTTGTCACGCTATATACCGAATGAAAATGAGAAATAGTTGTCTAATTTAGTTTTCGATTTAGAGAATTATGCTTGAATTAGGGCCCAATGTACGTTGACGACACTGTTACTTTTAATTTTACCTTTGGATAACGATTTTTTGCACCAGATAAAAATGCGGGGATTTTAAAATATGTAGTTTCCTTCATAGGATATTCTAAAAAATATACTCTGTCATCTCATGTAATTTTTGTCTTGGAGGGTGGTCGACTACCAGCTTCCATACAAATTCGATACATCTCCTTTAAAATTACGCTTACAGGTTCCCAATTCTCGCGGCATAGATATTATATCACCTTCGATATATATCGAATGATCTGGCTTTTATCGAAGGAAAACCTTTTTGCCCTATTCTCACCATGTCGCAATAGATATTTATCTACGGATGATCAGTAGACATACATCGACTGGTAAGGAGCCTTCGATATATAAATATCTATGGATCTTGGCATGTCAATCTTGTTATTTCCACTTTTTTTTTACCTATTATTTATTGTGTTGTCGTGTGTCTTTGCCAATTATTGTTACCTCAAGATGTTGTTAACTGCCTTCATAAATAATTAGTAAATAAAGAAGTAGGTAAACAATGGTGTCGATTTTGGCGTGATTCTCTAAACTTAAAAGTAATTTAACATCAGTCTCTCTTTTTCATTCTGTATAGAGAATGACAAGGAAACACTGTTGTCAAGTTTAAGTTTAGATTTAGAGAATCGTGCCAGAATTGACACCAGTTTATATTAACGATGGATCAGTTGATTCATGTTTTCGTCAATGATTTAATAAATGACGTGTTTGCTGCTGTTGTGCTAAGGCGCCGTCGTCGTGAGAGCAAGAGGGCCCATTTGAAATGAGGAACGCCGACTTCATAAAAAAATTACGTTTAAACAAAAATTTGGTTAGAAATCTTTAAAGTTATGAATGACATTGGTATCGATTCTGACACGAGTCTCTAAACTTAAAACTAAATTTAACTTCAGTCTCTCCTTTTCATTCTGTATGGAGAATGACAAGGATACACTGTTGTCGAATTTACGTTTAGGTTTAGAGAATCATGCCAGAATCGACACCATTTTCTTATTGACGATACGGAGTTTTGGCGGGATTTCTGCGAGTGCGGTTGGCATCTTATTTTAATTATTCTAAAATTCGTTCATAGTGGATATTGTGAAATGAAATTGGTGTGATTTGGTGTTACAACCGTTTGCGCAACTGAAGAATTAGTGGAATCTTTAAAATATACGCTATTCCGGTCAAGTGGACGCGAGAACTTTATTGTAGTGTTGACTACCTCACAGAAGCTTAGAGAAAAAGCCAACTCCATAAATTTCGTGCCAAACACTCCAAGAAACATTAGAATGCGTCACACCGACATTTGAATGTAAAAAAAAGAAGATTAATATAACTAGAGACTAGGCTTTATGGGCATTGTTCCCTTTGCCTTCCCTGAAAAGGGAGAATCTTAAATAATATTGACGTTTCATTATACATAACGTTGAAATTATATACGCATACAATTTAGGTTAAGTTGAGATTTCTTATACTCAAAAAATGTATACTCATATTTAATATGAATGGAATTCAAAAAATATCATTTTATTGCTTGTAAAATTATGCTCTAATTTATTATTATTTTATATAGACTATGATTTTAACTTAATCGAGAAAAACGGAACGCATTCGGCAGTGAAAGAATATCTACGATAGATATAATATCATTGGAATATCGAAAATCCACGAGAATAGCATTTTTTACCATCAGTAGATATTTTCAATAGATATCCCTCCTTTCGATATTATCTCGAAGCCGATATAATATCTATGCCGCGAGAATTGGGCCCCAGGTCGCAGCACGTAACTCTAGCACTGAACAAAATGCGGAGGGGATAGCTGCGCATGGGTACGACTGGAGAGCCAATCGGCGCAACGCACGCCCACCCGCGTACCTCGTTTCCCCCCAAGATAATATTCGCTCATATAAACGCTCTCGAAACGGGACCGTGGAAGTGCTAGAGATCGAATGTGCCAGAGCACCGCGGGTCGCGATAGAGCACGAGTAATGCGGCTCATTCTAAAATGAACCTTATGTAGTGCGGCGTAAGGGAGAAAGTGCAACGACATCTGCACTTGTTTACAAGTTATGCGCGTTACCTGCGTAGGTATAAGTAGGTACTTCGTAGGTACTCGCGGGTGCTAGCTAATTCTCAATTTAACAGGTACTTTCTAGAATGCGCCGATCGGCGTATATTAGCGCGATTGGCGCCGCGCAGAGACAGTTGAGTTTCAACAGCGATTTCAAAGAGAGAGCGATTCCAAAGGCGATCAAAGTGCAACAAAAGTGTTCAAGTGCGATAGGTTAGAGACTTGTATAGTGAAATACAGTGTTTAGTGAGTGTTTTGTAATTAACATTGTGTGGTAATTGTGTGAACTGTGTGGTGAACAAAGAACTGTCAAGCGTGAACTGGCATATAATTTCGAACCCCATCCCGATACGTAACAATATCTTAATTTTTACTTCTGCACAATAACGGTCAACGCTTGAGTTTTGTGTCGCGATTTATAAAGACCTATGTGCGTGTAATGGAGATGACAAACCCTTTTTTTTTTTCTAAAAATGAAAAATAATTCTACATAAAATTAGAAGAATAATTAAGAAGAAAAAAGTATTTTCCTTTTTTTCTATCTTTAAGAAGGGATGACAAAAAAAATGTTTTTTCGTACGACATTATTTGAAAACGCGGGCGGCCGGTGACCATGCGATGACGGCACATGTCGTGTCGCAGCCCCAGGGCTGCGTTCAAAATCTACGCTCTAGGTGCAATAAATTTCAAAGCTTCATACATTTTATGTCAAAATTGAAACGTCAGGGTGAAGAATTGCACTTGAGCGCAGATATTGAACGCACCACCGGGGACAAGCGACGTAAGCGCGCGGAGCGCAAAATCTCGGAAAATTAAAATAGGGCATAAACTTCTTGAAGTCATTACATCGTTAATACTGCTTGTGATAACATGAAATAAAAGCTAATATAAATGCGGTAGAGGTAGGAGCGAGAGGTATACCAGCAAAATCTCTCTATAAGCTTCTAAAAGAAGGAGTTTGACAGCTGGACGCGATATGACACGTGATACAATGTGAATTGTGGGTGGTGCTCATGCTACGAGGGCGGGATCAATTAGAACTTGTCTAATTTTCTTTCGGAAATAATTTTAATGTCAATAATTGTTATAGTAAAGTTCAATGTAAAAATTGACGAAAGCTCGAGTATCCCCTAATACAAGTATAATACTTAAAAGGGAATACTCAACAACATGTTTATATGGAACTTGTAAGCATTGAAGAATTTTTTCATTTTTCATTTTTTCAAAAGACCTAGGCCTGTCCAGAACTGCAGTAAGTTCAATTTTGGAACGAGTAACTAAAGCTGCACTAAAAGGTTCCTATTAAATTTGGCTAGGAAGGGCGGGCATCTCGAGCAGTGAAGGTGAGCGTTGATGCGCATTTTATCGAGGGCCTCCTTAAACCTACACCTGGGTGCAAGACCGAGAACTGTTCAGAGTTTCTCTCTCTCCCATACGATGGACTCGACACCCGCACGGTGAATCCATGGATTGCTAAGAAGTTCGTCGCTCGACGTAGTCTATATTTTGATGTTGGGTATATTAAGGTGTAAAATTTTGATCCTTTTGTTGTTCTCCATTGCCATTATCGCTATATCTACTTGACTTTCCGATATTATTTCTTAAAAAGAATAATACAATAACATTTTCGTTAACAGTTAAATTTAGAAAAAAACAAGCTGTAACTTATTTTCGTGTCTCGGACATTAATATCGCAGCCGCGGTGGTTATCTTTTCCTTTGGATCTGGCCTTCCATAACATACAATAAAATGTACTAAAGATGTTATAAGAATGAAGATTGAAATTTATGGCTAATAAATATAAACGTTCAAGAATTCATATGTTAAATATGCACGTTCTGAGTAATAAATAGTAAGAATTACTTTAAAACCGCGCTTAAAGTCATTAAACCATATCTCCTACAAATATTTGTTATGACCGACATACGTTTTCTACCTAAATTGTTCAACGGCAGGTTTTTATAAAAACGCTAAGAATGATTAAATTAACCACCTGATATATTTGCATAAGCACCGAGATAAGCACTTATTTATGTGTTTATATCGTGTAAAAAGTTTATCAAGTTGCAATAATTTATTATCAATTTACATTCACACGCACTGACGTTATGATATTTTGATTTAAAAATAATTTGAACTGCTATTTTTTATTATTATATCCGCGTCACACTTACCTATAAACTTATTTGTTTGAATTAGGAGACCAATTGTAATTAAAAAGTACTTTTAAACAAGTAAATATTTAATACTTTTTTATCATCCCGACTTGAAGTGCTATTTCATGCCTTTTAGAAACTTTTTAATTTTACACTTACGGATGGATGGAGGAAATACGTAGCCTGTCCTGCCACTTAAATTCGGGATTAACTCTGGTTGATTTATGCCGCGCGGCCTAGTCATTTAAAAAACGACAATGTAAATTGCGATTCAAGTGGACTACATTGACTTAAATCGTATACCTCAGAGAAGAGCTGCTTCCAATTTGATCGTTTATTCGACCTTGGGGATGTCCAATCGCAGGTATTTGCTATTGCTTTAAACACACGCTATGCTCAAATTTGTCGAATACAATGACTGTTTTCGCTTGTGATTTCAGTCGTCTAAGGTGTAAATGGATAGCGACTTGACCAACGAGGCGATTAGTATGCGGTTAACCGCACTTATTAATCGAGTCAGTGTATATAAATGCGTCATTAGTCGATAACCGCTTACTGGATTTCAATATATTTTAACCGTCTATTTTTAGATATCTTCTACCATTATTAAGAAACAGAATATTTGCATGTGCCGTGTACCATGTTGAAGTATAAATATGTGTATAATGTTGGCACTTCACATGGTTATTTGTATTTGTTAACTTCACAGCAGTATTTGCTTTTCATGCCCAATAGAGCATGAAGGGGATGATAAAATAGATTAAGAAGAGAGCAGTTAATTTATCCTACACAAGATTTTAAATGAATCCAATGAGTTCCACAAGTGTTTCCCACTCGTGAACTTCGGCCCCCTTATTCCAAACGCGGACTAAAGTTAGTCTTGGTTTAAATATAATGTTTTGTATCTTTCCTCTTTTTAGAAAATAAAAATGGCAGCATCAGTTTTAGTCCAGGTTTAAAAGTGTACATTTTGTAATAAGGATGTGTAGAGTTTTCGCGAGTATTTCCTACACGAGGTAATCTTCCTATCCTGATGTTTTGTGCGCAGATGGTGTGGTTCCGCGAGAATTGGTACGAGGAGGTGCTTCGGCAGCTGCGCGCGGGCCTGGCCAAGTGCCACGTGGTGGCGTTCCACCACCGCGCCGCCGTCGCCGACGCCACCGTCACGCCGCACACGCTCAACTTCATCAAGAAGGTCGTCTCCACCTTCGGCATCGGTATTGGCATCAGTGAGTATAAACCATGCCGTTGTCATTGTTTAATAATTCATATAATGTTATATTATAATGTGTAGTAACAAAACTGATATATTACTGGTATAGGAGGAACATGGTAGTATATTTTGAGTTACGAACTCTTTTATCCTTTACACTTAATAGTTTGCAATTTTGTTTGTGCGTTAACACATGTCTTGACGTTTCGGATAAAAGCAGACTGAAAATATCTACTGGGTATTTTTTAACACTTAATTTAATGGTGATAAGATGATTCTCATATATTCAAGGTTTATCGTTTTCTTAGTATGTACTATCAGCCAATTTGATTCCTGAGCCACCGTAAGCTTATTTCCTTACAACCATTGAAAAACAATACGGTTGACATTCGCTAAAATATGCGTACCTTTCCCTGTTATTTTCTGAACAATCATATTTGAAGTGATAAATTTTGCAGTCCCCCTATTACATAATTTTGTCGTTGCATGATTTGGAATTTTGCCCATAGACTAAGGATTTTCTTATTAAACTCGCTCCACATTCTCGACGACGACAGGTCTCGGCCAAACGTTTGGTCGAGAAGGGGCGTTGACGAAAGTACACGAGACAGACTCTCGGCTCAGTTGAAAATAGAGGCTTGTAAAATAATGAACGTCTTGAAAATATCTGCCGTAAGATAATTATCCGTTGTAATATAATCAATAATTATAACATGCTTATAATTACATTGTAGTTCATGAAATTAATTCATCGGGTAAAACGATTTGGCTGGCTTTAATAAAGTTCTAAAAATAATTACTTTACTTCGTGGTCAATTTGTCGACATTACTTTTGTTTACCATAAAATTTTCATAAAAACATGTTTGTTTTTGTGAAAAGCCGAGTTCAGCCGACTAGCATGGTTGAGCGACACCGAAAATGTGGAGGGATAGTTTTGCCAATACACAAAACTACACGAGAACCCTTTGATGTTTCCGACACGGCAGCGAGACTAGGGCAACATCCACGAGACAACGCCAATGTAGACTCTACACACCCGTATTGGCCAATGATAGCGTAGTTTTGACAGGAGTGTGGGGCGGGTTAAAGTTTACCATTTTTTCCATGATGTCAAGTAGGGATGTAACGGAGGTAAATTTATCGGAACTAAAGTTGGAGTCGGAGTTTTTAATTTTTTTTTATCGGAGGACCGGTGTCGGAGGCATAGTCGGGGTCAGCGACAGAGTCAGCAGTGGTCACAAGAGAGATATTTTTCATTTAAGAACAAATGAAAACATCATTCAGTCAACCTTTTTTTATTTTAATTATAAAATAACATTTTTTTATTTATATTTACTTATTATTAACACAGACTCCCAACGCGACGAGTATAAACTAGTTCGTAACGTTCGACGCAGGCCGCCGTCGCTACTTGCTATTCTTCGACCTCCGATTTAAAAGTTTCGGAGCCGAAGTCGGAACCGAAGGTGTAATAATAATCGGAAGTTCCACCTTATCGGAATCAGAGTCGAAGCTCCGTAACATCCCTGATGTCAAGAAATCGAAAGAGTATCTGTTACATTTACAATTTTAAATTCAAACTACTATTCCATTTTTTTTTATAAGATGATCTATTGCATTGAAAACAAAGGTCAAATTTCGACGATCTTTGATCCATATTAATCCAGTTTCCTTGTTATTAGAAGGTTCTAATTGCAATTATGCATACTCTTTAAAGACAACTTGTCTGTTTTGGTATTTTTGAGCGAATGATCGGGTAAGTGTGGGTCAGGAATCAATTTGTTGATAGTACTTCCTTATAAATGTTGATCTTATTTATTCATAGAATAAATATATTGTAAGTAAAAATACTTCTGTTTCTACTAAATGCATGGGTAAATCCAAAGTCGTCTTTGGTACATAAATATTTATCGGTTCAGATTCGTAGAATAAATATTTCACAGCACGATTTTTATATCATATCCAAGAATAATTGTATTTACCATATATGAAACTGGGGTTTGTTTTTGCTAGCGATAAGTAATCAACATACAGAAGCTGCCGATGCCGCCTTTAGGTTACACAATGTTATTTCTGTGAGATATTTATCTATCGTAGTTTGATTAGCAATGAAAGTCATTTAAAATTTTATGTTAATGATATAGTTCCCGAAAGGAAATGAAGTTAACAAAGATAATTACAGTATTATGTGTTAATAAAAGTATGTTTAATAGTCGCACTCAGATACCTCAACAAATTTACGTTCAATTAAAGTTAAGTTAAGGTTAAAGATGATGTTGTCACAATGACATAGCAATAGAATAAGAGTTAAGACAAAGACAACGTCACTTAAATAAACATAATTTTAATTGACGTCTCGAGATTCGACTGTATTATCAAAAGTGAGTAGAATATTCATAAGACGTTTAAATTTAATTCAATTTATACAGTAGTGGTTTTTTGTACAACGAACCCGCCTACATTATGTCACGTAAATAAATTTTAAGACTCAGTTGCTCGAAATAAAATGATTGTACATTTAAAAAAACAACAAATTAATTTATATGCACGTTGTGTATTTATTTTAAAAGAGGATTCCTGATATCGCCCAAAGTGTTGTAACACGTTGGAGACCTATCACAAATGGAAGGTCTTCTAAAGTACTTATTTTATTTGTATACGAGTAATTTTCTATCTCGTGCAAGTAAAAAGATATAAGCAAAGATAAACGCCAAATAGTGTCTATTAAAATGTTATTAACCCGGCGTCATGGGGGTGGAAAACTGTTACACGGACGTGGGGGCTGGGTCATCATTACCCTGAAAAGGAATGTGAATATTTCTGTATGTATTTGAGAAAAACGATATTTTTTTGTAACATACAATAATTTACTTTATAAGGATAATACAAAACCACAAACATAATGAAAATATAAACTTTTATTAATAGGAATAAGGTTTTGAAAACTATTCACTAAAAATCAAGAAATTTGGCTTTCCTTAGCAAAACTTAACATAAAAAAAATATTAACTAGTCTTCGGTGTTCTAATAGAACCGTTCTATATCTTCTTATATAAAATAATAAAAATAAGTTAGTCAGACTCATTATTATCAATACAATTAGCGCAGAAAGGCACTATATGTTGAGGGCAAATATGCTTGTTGCATCCTTCACATACGTGTGTAGTTTTGCGATCTTTGCTTGCAGGACACACTTGACACCTCTTACGAGCATTTGTTTTTTTTGCTGGGGGCTCGTCTGTAGATTCCAGATTGTATATTTTAGAATAAGTTGCAACATTTCGTCAGAAAAAATAGGTTCCAGCTCGCAAATTCCGACAAAGCAGCCTTAGCTTCCAGAGCTACCCCCGGCAACTGGTCGATTATATTTTCAGCTTTTGTTCGAACATTCTGTCGAAGATTTCGAATTCTGTCTGGCTTTCGAAACCAAGCTGTACCATCTTTACCAAAATATTGCCGTGTGTACTCACAATCACGAGTCGACAAACTTGTTGATGTATATTCCTCCTGCTGCAGATTTGCTTCAGACTGTACCCTACGTCTAATTATCGCCAATGGAACCTCGTCGTCATCCGAAATCTCTTGCTCCGTATTGGTTGCTTCACTACGCTCATTCACGTGGTCATCATCCTCTCCAGACTCCTGATCAGACGGCATAACATCAGAGTCCGATTCTTCAAGTACCGCCATAATAAGACATCTTTTCAGTTGTTCGTGATCCATTATTACTCGTACTACCAACCGAAAAAATAAAAAAATCGTCAAAACCTCAAAACAATGTAATAACACTAATACAAAGCATCATAAATAACAATAAATCATTTAAACAATTATTGATTAAAAAGGCGTAAAACAGTTACACTGAATACAGGCATGGGTCATATTTACCTTTTTCCCGTGACAACACTTGTACCTCTCAACGTGGCTCTCGCCAAACTTAATTCGCGGGATAACCATGTAGAGGGACTCAATGACTCCAGCTACTGCGAAGAGCGACAACGTCGCGCGCGTCGTTGTAAAATTATAAGCGAAATACAAAAGTGCGGGTAATTTTGACCCAGCCCCCATGACGCCGGGTTAAGAGAAAATACGATTGGCAAATTCTTTGTTAAGTAACAAAACTCTTTGCACAAAATATAAACAATATAAGTAAATAAGTTTATTAAAAGGTGTTCCTTTGAAATATGATTAAAGACAATTAATACAACATTAATACATTATTCATAACTTGGTACAAGCTTGGGACGGCACTGATAGTGAAATAGGCATTCTCTTTAACTGTCATGTAAATATCATACTTTTATTTTAATGGTTTAAAACATAATATTACATAACAAGGTTTTGGTTTATAATGAAAATAGAGAAATATTATTTAAAGTTATTTTATTATAATATAAAAAATCGAGCCACCTTGTCTTTGAAGTTAAGGAATGAATCGTTGCCTTCATTTTTAGACTTTATGTCATGGTTAACTATGCTGACATATTGAAAAGAATAAACAGATAAACATAATTACAAAATAAGAAGGTGACCCGATTTTTATATTCCTTCATGTTGGCAACTCATTACATACATTCACACATATCTATCTATAATGCTATAGAACAGTGATTCTTAACCGGTGTTCCGATGGCAAAACTATATAATAATACATTTACCTCAAGCAATCAGGCGCGTATTATTTTAGTAGCCATTTACGGGGGTGCAAATCGTAAGTGAATTTTAACACTTATTAGTGGTCAGTGGCAACAAACAAAATTTAACAAATGGTCCCCCATCACTAAAAGGCTAAGAACACTGGTACAGAACATGTTCCAATTTAGTTAAGTGGGCTGTGCGTTAATGCATTATTTTATTTTTTCAGGTTTTACCATTTCTGCTTTGCTTGAAATTGACTAAAAATAACAATTAATACACTAACCTGCCATCTGCGAGCGCTATTATATATAGATACTTCATTTTGTATGTCGACAGAAAGTGTTTCAAGTTCTGTAAGTGGTGCATTCTCTTCAGCTGCATCGGAAAGCCTGGCTCGTCGGGCGCAGGCAACTGTGCAAGACCCCGTCTTCCAGAAGATGAAGAGCCAGTTCACCGCTGACTTCGATTTTTCACAACCTAATGCTATGAAATTACAAAATCTCATACAAAAATTGAGGAAATGGGTCAAGATACTAGAGGCCAAAACAAAAGTTCTGCCCAAGTAAGTAGCGTTCAAGCATTACGATACAAAGATAAGGTAAACAAAATGGACTAAATATACTTATGCGTTCGTGTCGTCCTTTTCCACTCGTGTGCTAATCGAACACCCATTTGTAGTTTAACACCATTTAGTAGTTTTAGATTCAGCAATCACCTTACGCAACTTCATTATGACGTACTAATAGGTCTGATACTGTCGTATGCAGTTACTTACAAATATGTTTGTTACAGGTCATTCCTCATTGAAGAGAAATGTAGGTTCCTCTCGAACTTTAGCCTGAAAACTGCTGACGTAGAGTTACCCGGAGAGTTCCTACTTCCTAAACATACCCACTACCATGTGAGAATCGCGAGGTTCATGCCTCGCGTTGAAATCGTACAGAAACATAACACGTCGGCGCGCCGGCTGTACATACGTGGACACAACGGAAAAATATATCCGTACCTAGTAGTCAATGATTCAGGTCTGGGCGATGCCAGAAGGGAGGAGCGAGTCTTACAATTGCTTAGAATGTTAAACCACTATCTGGGCAAGCAGAAAGAGACTTCTAGAAGATTCCTTCATTTCACTGTACCACGCGTCGTGTCCGTATCGCCACAGATGCGACTTGTCGAAGATAATCCTAGTTCAATATCATTATTGGACATTTACCGCACCGAATGCACTAACAGGTTTGTATTCTATAAAGTACAGTCATTTGGTGAGAAATATAGTGGTTACCTGGAAAGTTTTCCGGGTATTATGAAAATTGGTAATTTTATAAATTTTGAGGTGTTCTTTCCGAATTTCGACTTTGCCACCTCGTATTTTTGCCGCTCGCGCCGCCATATTGGAAAAATGGCGCATAAAAGCAATTTTTTGATAATATATCCTTTCCAACTCATTTTACGATAAAAACAGTTAATACAAAATGAAACTAGAGACAATTGCCTACAATTTATCTACCTTTTTTTTCATAAAGTCAATAGTTTTGGCGTACGAGCGCCTCAAACTGTACTCCAACGCGCATTTTGGAAAAAAACTCATTTCCACACCACCTTGAGTTAGAGTAAGTGGCGCGTTTTTATTAATGTGGTTTCCCCAATAGGCCTAATCCACATGCAATTCAATGTGCTGAAAGGACATTGTTCAGCGTCCATACATAGTTAGCCTAAGAACCAACAATCATGAAATATTATTTTCTAGGTTCAAAATCGTAAGTAAATGACTGTAAAAACAAAGATTATTGACGGACACTTCTAAGAACTTAAATTATTAGGAAAACTAAAAATTTTTTTGAGGTTATGTTTAATATTCAATGAAACATAGGTCAACCTATGAATTTAGTATGAACTCAGTATGAAGTGAATTATTATTACAACTAATTCATTTTATTCGGTGCGATTTTGAAGAATAACTATTAGGAAAAACTTGGTTAGGTAGGAATCATGAATCAAGTAAAAACTGTAGTTTTGCTTCTTATTTATTGACTATTTTTCACATAATTGTATCATATTGTTTATTGTATTTATTTGTATATCACATTTATATTGTGCAAATATGCAGCGTGAATGTGTATCAGGTGTTCTTGAATAATTTGGCAGTATGATCCTCTCAGGATGTTGTGGCACAGGTTCACTAGCACTTTGTAATAACGTCTCTGCTCTTTGGTAACATCGATGGCATATTAGATAGCCGAAATAGTGAAATTAAAGGAAAAACAATCGCAAATAAACACACACAACAGGTATATTATAACTACTCTTTGGAATGCACGAATGCCACAGATTACTACAAATGCAAACTGCATGCACCACAACCACAGAGTAACGAGTGTTATGCCGACCATTCACTTGACAACAGTTTGTCCTTGTCATGCTTAATAAGGAATGAAAAGGACAGACTGATGCCATCTTTTAAAATAGCAAATACGAATAGCCAAGTGAAGTGCCGGCATTAGGAAGAAAGAGTGTTTTGTTTGCAGCTCTGCCATAGATTACACACATAAAATGGTATTTATTGTCTCAGATTAATTTTTAACTTTTTAATTTAGCTTACTTAACTGGAAGTGTCCGTCACAATCTAAATACTGATAATTATCGCAAAAAATATACTAACAATTATCATAAATGCCAAATTGGTGTTGGTTCTTAGGCCAATTTTAACATTGTCCTTTAGCGTATTCTCTTTCGCTTTGTTGTTCTCGAAGTTCATCGATCGATCTCGAAGGTATTGTAAATTCATCGTCTGTAGTACCAATCGAAACGTCACAGACCGGTATGTCATCTACATCATGGGTCTTTTATAGTATAATATAATATCTATAGTCAGTATAATTCAGATTTACATTAATTTTATAACTCACAAATATAATGAGTTGAAATTCAATGCCACAGGTTGCATGAATAATGAGTAATGACCAAAGCGCGCGTTGGAGTACACTTTGCGATTTTGGCATACACTCGTATGCCAAAACTATTGACTTAATGAAAAAAAGGTAGATACATAAATTGTAGGCAATTGTCTCTAGTTTCATTTTGTATTAACTGTTTTTATCGTAAAATAAGTTGGAAAGGAGATATGGTCAAAAAACTGCTTTTATGCGCCATTTTTCCAATACGGCGGCGCGAGCGGAAAAAATACGAGGTAGCAAAGTCGAAATTCGGAAAGAGCACGTCAAAATCTATAAAATTACCAATTTTCAAAACTCCCGTAAAACTTTCCAGGTAAAACTACCAAATGACTGTACTAATAAGGCATAGATAAAATTCCATAGCTTAACATCAGTGGAATTATTTTTTGAAATATTTAAATCCAAATGTTTTGAAATAAAACTTTCTTTGACATTTGTAGGGGTGTGGAATATGACGCTCCAGTAGCACGTTACTACGAGCGATTAGCCGCAGTCCAAGCCAGAGGCTCACAGGCGTCACATCAAGTGTTACGCGATATACTGCGAGAGGTGAATACTTAAAAAAAATGTTTTTTTTATATATACACGTCACTACTAGCGGTACACCATTTTAAAGTACGCGGTTTGACAGATATTTAAAAAAAACAACAAATTTGTTCAGAATAGTGCCGCAGATAAATCGCTAGGCCGTAGATATATATAATTCTACAAATCACAAAATGCACTCTTAAATAACATATAGTTACGATATACGTTTTCTGAGTTAATCATGCAAACAGACTTGGTATCCCCAAATTTTATGCCGACATTAACAACACATCGTTTTTTATACTGCTATATAGCCAATAGAGACGGTTTTTCTCCATTCGATTCTGTCTTCAATAGCATAAATCATACCATGCATTCTCACTTGTTCGTTACTACAGGTCCAAGCGACAATGGTCCCTAAAGGCATGGTGCGAGAATGGGCAGCGGCTACATTCGCGGCGCCCACCGACTATTGGACGTTCCGCAAGATGCTGACGCTGCAGCTGTCATTGGCCAGCTTCGCAGAGTACGTGCTGCATCTCACCCGCCTCAACCCCGACATGATGTATGTGCATCAAGACTCGGGTCTGCTCAATGTGTCCTACTTCAAATTCGACGTGGATGACACCACGGGTACGTAGAAGCTTTGTATTAAACTATTTTTTATATCATTGATGCATTTATAATTTGTAGTGATAAGAGACAAGTTCAATCTCGTAATTTAAACGTTTTACATCAACGAAATTTCTATTGCCAAAATACTCTGTTTAACTTTTAAAGAGTGACAGTGAATCATTTAACAAATTCCCCAACTGCAAATCGTTTACGCATTCGTTTAGTGGTTAGTGACTGTGTTACGATCTATAAGTGAAATATGTGGTTACGAGTTTGTAGCCATATTTTTTCTTTATTCGTAGTATGTATACCAGTTGGTACTATTATTTATAGTGTTATTCCGATGAAAGATTATTTCTCTGAACAATTCATGGGTACCTTATTTATTGAATAGATTTCAACACTAACCAATAATAAAATATCATTATAAGTCGTTAGTCACACTCGCGCCTTTGTTGGTATTCAACAGTGTTTGACATTATACTAGCCCGCAAAGGCAGTAGGTTAATGGTGTAATTTTCCCATATGAGGAAAAGGCTGTAAGTAACAGTGACACGTTTTATATTTTATATATTTTATGTGATTATGTGAATAGAAAGTACACTACACATGATGTGTGTCATTGAAAACGTCCATTTGCCAACTTCGTTACGATAATTTAAAGGAAATGATAAAGAAAAAGGAAGAAAATTTCTTAGGTAACAGACACTTACATAGTGTAAGTTTAGCTATTCATAAATAATTCAGTGAAACTCTGTTTTATTAATGAAGTTAATCAACCAATTCAGTCTTGTCTTAATGTAGCTTTAGATCCTAGTTCACCATTAACTTTCGCTAAACCGCAATTATATGGGCATATGAATGATACAGTCGCGCCCTGCTGATATCATTTATTAGCTTTTGCTATTTTATTCATTGTTTCCTCGTTGGTCGCAAATTTATCACAGTTTGATAAGATTCTGCGTCCCATTAATACATAGTATGTATTTATTTTAGTGACAGATACAATATAAACTCCTCCCATCCCTGTGTAACATTCAATTCACGAATGATACATAGAAAGCCGTTAGATAAATTAAAAACAAAATATAATATCTACATTATTTGTACAAATGTTTTAATATTACATTACTTTAAATCTTTGCCTTATTGCATACGTTTTTTGGTTTATAATGTTTGAATCAAATGTAAAATAAATAAATTGCGTACTATATTAATAGTGATGTCACTTAATCTATGTAAATTCCGGGTATCAATGATGTTTCTAAATAAAATGAAAGCAACACGTTTCTGGATAGGAAAAATGCATGTAATTCAAATTAGCCTTATTTTATTAGTATAAAACTCGTACTTTACTCTAAGTTGTGTACTTTAAAGTTTTCCCTCCATCAATATTTGTTAATAAAATTTCTTTTCTGGCAAGAAATTAATGATGAGAAATACTTCTGGGAAATCAAATATTTGAGACGCGACAAAAGCGGTTGTGACGTATAAATCTGCCAATGTCAAGGAGATTATAGTGCGAGTGCGTAGATGCCAAAGCCGCGTTCCACTTAGACACCGAGTGCAACTTTTTACTATGACTTATAAATTTTACCAAAAATGTATGAAACATTTGTCTATTTTATAGACGTAGGTTCCAACTTCCATCCGCAGTGAAGGTGTGGAACGCAAAATGTCAGTATCTTGTAAGGGCATTGGGTCCTGTTTGTAGGTTTATATGTATCGGGACGTTGCGTCGCATCCAAGCTTTCCAAAATAGCGCGCGTTTAAAATGCCCGTACAAAGTGCCTATTTTTTATTTTTTTAAGACACCGCTATATTTTCGACGTTGATTTTTATAATGTATAAAAACGGGATGAAAATCACTTAACAAAATATAAAAAATGCATCTCTATTCTTGTCAACATGTTGCAGAATTTATCACAGCATAGTTTCCAGCAACATTGTCGCTATTCATTATAATACCGAATATTTGCAAAGCATAGGCGCCGGATTTTTGGTCACGTGATCACAGATTGATCTGAGCAAATTGCTATTAACCGTAGATTAATTGCTAACCTCAAACAGAAACTAACCTTAGAACATGACAGATAACCAGATTAATCTTTTTCATCGGTCAAAATACTCCGAGCAAACAGATTTACATCGGACTGATCTGAGCGGAATTACCGAACGATTCCGACTAAAAAGATTGATCAGACGCAAATAACAAACGCAGCTTCTATTTGATCATTGATTAACTGTTGCACGACATAATATACCATATTATGTTTACCATGAGAACGGGGATTCGCATTGGTAAATTATTATTATTGTACAAATAATTGTAGCCATGTAACATGTTTTTTTTGTTCTACAGGAGAGTTAGATGGCAACAGACCAGTACCGTTCCGGCTGACGCCAAATATTTCAGAGCTGATAACGTCTATTGGCATCACTGGACCTCTCACTGCCTCGGCTATCGCTGTCGCCAGATGTTTGGTCACTCCAAACTTCAAGGTATATTGAGTGCATTTTTATAGCTTGTTTAGTGGGTAATTTTTAGAAATTCAATTTAAATAGACTTTTATATAAATTATATTGACGGTTATTTGAATTGGTGTGTTGTTACAGATACAATCGATACTGCGGACTATCTTACGTGACGAGATGGTAACTGGATATAGAAAAAGATTAGAAGATAAGTCAGGAATGCCCACAGCGGGCACATCATCCGAAAATAAACCAATGGAGATGGATAATGAAACGATCATCAACATGGTGAACAAAGCCGTCACTGTGATTATGAACCGGCTCAATTCTCTCGCTCAGTTTGATGGACCCGATAGCAAGGTGGCGACGCTGGTGACGGTGGCCAATAGCTACGACAATCTATGCCGCATGGATCCCGCTTGGCATCCATGGCTCTGAATTTATTGGGCCTTCGACCTGGATATTTTGATATTAAGAATTAATTAAGTTTTATGTTTTATACCGTAAGTATTCTGATTTTATGCATTTAAGTTTCGTGGTGTTGTAATATTTTTATTTTACAACCATACAATGTATTATTGTATTATACACGTAAATTGAGTTTATGAGCCTCTTTAGATTAAGAGAAAATTATCATGGAATGTAATTAGACAATTAGATTTCTACGTGCGTGTATTTTAACATGTGAATCAGGTATCTACGACATTGTGATCTCTTGTACTGAAGAATAAATTTTAATAATAATGCTGTAGTTTGATTTTTTTCTTTTAGTATTGATGAAATTATGCAGTTCGGCTAGGATCGGCATGTGAGTAGGTGCATGTGCATAAGTGACAGAGTACTTACGCAGGTGAAAGTACCGGCAGCATCAAGCGCAGCTAATGATACCCCCCTCCTCCTCTCTTTGTCACTCGCCAATCTCAGTCAATCGCTAGAGATAGTAAAACTGATTTCATCACGCTAACAATGGGAAAGAAAGTGCAGTAATTGGAGGATAGAGCAGGAACTGCTTGCGTATTCAGTGGAATCGAACTACAATAAGGGATCGACGCTTTAATTCTATGGTTTCATTTGTTTATTGTGATTTGTAGTAACACTGTAGTTACAAAGAATCTACATCAATATATTAGAATATTGTCAGGGTCCAGTCCAGGTATCAGTAGATTTATATCAGTTTTATTAAGCTAAATTAAACGGTTTAGCTTTAGTCAATCTAAAGAGGCATAGAGGAGCTACCATAACAAGATTGTTTCCTTACTTTCAAAAATATATTAGACGTTACAGTAATATGTAAGTATATAAAATGACGTTTGAACCTGATGACATTTTTGAGATTGGCATTTGTCCAGCAGCTGCTTTGAGCTGACGATAACGATTCGAAATTATCTTTCTGTACTTAGGAATATATGAAAATTCGCGGATGAGAAATGAATTTTTAAGTAAACACATCGCTTAAAATAAGCTTTAAAGCTTCAATCTTAAAAGTAGTAGTTACTTGTAAGTCATGTCGTCTAGACTTGAGCACATTAGGTGTGAAATATGATTGGTCGGGGAGGAATGATCGGGTGCTCCAGGGTGGTCGGCTGGAGGCTGGCGGCGGGCGCCGGTGGCGGCGTCGCGTTGCTAGGCGGCGGAGGGGCGGGCGCGGGGCACGGGGCGCTGGCCGGCGCGGGGGCGGCGCTGGGCGGGCGCGCACCGTCGCCTCGCTGCTTCATTCCAGTCCACTCCGCGGCGTCGACTGATGCGCCCGCCGTGTGACGCACGTGCCATCGCTCGAGCGTCCAGTGTCCGACCTCTGTAACCGACCGTTTATGACATTCGACAACCCCGCCCCGGTGCATTTTTCCAAGTTGCATTTCGATCAGTGCGAGAAGTGCGTCGGCCGCGCAGTCCGTGAGGCGGTGATTCCGCCCGCGTTTATTTATGTTGTCGTTTTGGTGTGGTGAATATTTGTGTTTGTACGGACGACGATAGCCGTATTTATTATCTGTGCGATCGGAGTCGAGTGCATTTTTAACGACGATCGACGCTTGTTTTGCCAAGGTGAGTGGTAAACTTGTATTTGGCGAATTTCGATCATCGGATGGGAAGTTCGATTCGCCGCGACGTGGCGGCCGTCTCGTCGATACGCTCCGGAATGTCGTGAGCGGAGTGTGTGTCACGATCGCTCGCAAAAATAATATTCTTATTTGTCGCTGGGTAGCTATTCTTACAAAAATTCTAATTCAGAATATAATTCTAATTGTTAACTACCCAGTATAACAACAATACGTTGAGATTTGTTGTTATTAGTCGCTATGACGTCATCACATTAAATGATTTTATCAAAATGTTTAGGCGTAGTTTCTAACAAATGTTCCCAAAGAGAAAGTCGGAGATATTCAAACTTATTAGAGTCTTATTAGATTTGGTCCTATCCCACTATACCATATGGTAGTCGGAAGCGAATGGATAAGAAAACATGGAGGAGAGCGGGCGTCGGCGAGGGGTGGAGCGGGCCGGTCGGCCGGCCGCATTCCATATGGAATGAATGCCGGATTATACGCAATGTCAGTGTGACTCGAGCTGTGCCGTCTCTGATGCATGTACGAATAAGTAAAAATTCGCAACACCAATGTCTACATCCCTTCGCTGGATTCCTTTCCTCCGCTCGAGTGTTTGTATTAGCTAATTGGACAGCGTATGCTACCCCAGCTAACCGATTCGATATAGAGACAAATCTTATTAACGTTAGTACATACTTAGCTGCATCTAAGTACTATAACGATTTTGGTCAATTCATATGGAAAAAATTGCAACTTTGCTTACGTAAACAAGTGCTCATGCCACGTGTTGGGAGTTTGGCTGTATACTATTTGTTTTAGATATTCCGTGTACGTTACTTTAAAAATATAACTTCATAAGTTCAGTACTTGGCATATTGTTTTTGTTACAGACGTATCTTATTTATTGACACAAAAAGATTTAACTACTAATTTCTTCGACTGCAGATCTGTTGTATTTTTTCAATGATTTTTTTTCCGTAAAACCACTGTTCGCATTATTTTCTGCACTTTCTATATTGATTTGCAAGTAGCGATGGTCTACGAAAACTTTTTGTTCACGCAAAACTGCTAAAACACAACAAATAAGCTAAACAGCGAATGATAAATTTTTAACAGGACACCCAGCTACTCATGGTGGTTTCACTCTTTCGGTGGTTGATTATAAATTTCAGTGTTGGCTACTACAGTTATCTTTCATGTAGGGCTGTAATCGTGGAAGTTATCTCGTTGACATTAGAACGATCTGGCGTAGAGCGTATAATGAGCGTCGATAGTGCGTGCCATATTTCGAAACACGTCCGTCGCCATTTCCGCCCTATGACCCACAATTTACGACTAACTTTTAGATGTATCTACTAATTCTATGTCCCGAATACAGTATCCGTCTCATAGTTTTAAAAAGAGCTTTATTTATGTGTCTATCCATACTTTAACTCGTTTAGCTATTTAAACATAAAAATAATTTGATGTTATGTGATTGGCAAAATTGGAAATTAAAAAAATATCTATATACCTATTAGAAACTTTAAGATTGGAAAAATATTACAAAGTTATTTTTTTTCATACCACAAATTGCATATTCATTGGAATTTCGTGCTAAGTCTTTTATTATAAATTCAAACGTTATTAATGTTCATAATTGCAAATTATGCATCTGCATTAAATTCTTCATTATGTGTATTTTATATGTAGCATTGGATTTCATTAATTGGTTTGTTTACAGCAAACATATTATTTATTTCTAATTTAATTACTTAGTTATCTAATGAATAACTGCATAATCTGACGTTACAATGTTCTATATCAGTGCAAAATCTTCTTTCAAAACATTGATAAATTGAGACTTTGCCAATAAATTGTAACTAAAGAAATAACCCATTCTATAACTGCGCGTGTTGCCGCTTTGGCACCTATCTAACCAAATTTTATCTCAAGTGTCCGGGTACCGGGTCAAATTTACACAATCTCTGACCTTTAATCTCTTTTTAGATATCTAAAACTCGTTCCTTTGTGTCAATTCTCGGAACTGACGCTATATTATCTCGTTGTTTGTTTTATTTACAGTTTGATGTTACGTTCGCATACTTTATAGCTTCTTTAAAACACTTCTAATCTTTCGATGGTTTTCATAACACTTTTCTGTAAAAAAAAAAAAATCCTCCATAAGTGGTTATAGGTTACATATAATAAATCTATAGTGGGCTTACAGAATATTATAGTTTTTTTTCTGTGAGCCGTTTAGAATGAGACTAGAAGGGGCAATAATATATACAAAACACTGGTCTTCCTACTTTGATTTCTTTCTATTTCGCATTGCGTCCCGCGCTCGTAGGAAGGAATATCTGCGTAAGTGTCTTACAAATCAATTGTTTACTTCTATGAAATGCATTTGATCAGTATGATTGACAAGATTGTGACGTTTTTTCTTCGTCAATCGCTAACCAAAGCAAAAAAATATTCGATATTTATTTCTGTAAAAGTTTTTGTTGGGGAATCATTCATGTCCTTGTTTGTAGTATATGACAATGTTTCCTTGACATTAACTGATGTCGACCTCTTACTTTATTTTCTACTACAAAATGCCATTTATACAAGTGGTTCGTTCTAGACAGGTAAATTTTCGAAACCAGAATCTGTCTTGCTACTTTTTATGGCTTAATTAATTGCTTACCATTTTTAAAAGCTCAGTATTTAAATTGCCTAGAATATCATTATTTTAGGTACGCTTACGTTTACATACTTGATGTTTTGTAGCCTTTTCGTTTAGATGGCTACGGTTCTATTTGATAGAAAAACTAAAAAGAGATAAACAATTTTCCTCCTAAAAAAAGGTGAAGTGTATATCGTGTAGTGTTCGTACAGAAAGCTTGTGTTGTGAGAGCTAGAGTTAAATATGATGCTAGATATATTGGAATATTTATTTTTCTTATGAATCAGCTGTCAGATAGACTGGCCTTCAATTTAACAGGATGCTTTTCAAACATTTCTAATTGAATCGAAAAGCCTTCATTATATATAAATCATACCATGGTTATGATTTATATGTATAACATAACTACAACAAGTCTACGTGCATTTTTTGTTAGAGGAGAAACTTTTATATGTCATTTTATAAACTTTATTTTGGTACCATTGTTTGTACCATACATAACTTACCAACATTGTACCTGTTAAGAAAATAAAACACATTTTGTCAGAAATTACTTGAATGAACACACGACGATCGGAGTAGATAGGCTAAACGATGAAATGTTTCAGAGGTAATAATTGCATTCCGCGGTGAGCTTCTTCTCTCTCTAAAGTCGTGTTGCATGTCGAGTGTCGGCTGTCGACGTCTGCATGCTACTTAAGGGGGCTGCACTTAAATACCTACTTCTCTCCACTGATGTTAGTAGATCTCGGAAGTTATGCTAATATTGGATTAAGAATAAGTATCTACCTATAAATCGCTCTCTTCTTTGTAAATCTAGTCTTCAAATTCCTGCAGGCAGAACGTAAATAAATAATCACAGCGTGACTTTATCGTACAAATTGTAATTTCGTTCATGTTTTGCTAGGAAAAAGCTACAGATACAGACGGTGCGATTAGCGAAATCTCCGCTACATTAGAGCTCCGCTAATTTGTTTCGCATTTTCCTTATTCCTGGTGGTTCACGGTGTCGCCAACTCGAGAAGTCCCGGGTTCAAATCCCAGTGAGGCCAGATGTTTGTGGGATGAATACGAGTATTTGTACTCCAGTCATGGATGTTTAATATGTATTTCTATAAAAACATAATTACTGTACTATATTCTATGCGTTACCTTAGTATCCCATTACACAAACCTTGTAGTGCTAACTTTGGGGCTAGGCTAATTGGTGTGAGTGTTGAAAATATTTATTTATTGTTTCTATTGTGAGGCAATTAGGTGTGATTGTCGTTTACGCGTGACGTGTGTTGGAGATGGCAGCGAGGCTCTGGCAGGTGATATGTAGGAGCGAGTAACGGTCCCAGTGTGTTTGCAGTGTCAAGAGTGCCTGTGTGCGTGTCTCTAACACAGGCGCGCCCGCGGCACAGCGCGGCCGTTGAACCGAATACTGGAGGAATTTCTCCAACCAACAACGCCATTTCGTTAGTAGACGAAGAAGAAAATTGACTGCTAGTGGACTGACGACCCTATAGCATATTGTTCGTTAGGCATTGATCAAAGCGGTTCACGTACCGAACGCGTCGTAATATTTTATTATTAGCAAAATAAATTACGTTTGCGTTGAGGTGTTCGAGCGGCGATTTGTCGTGGGCTAGTGTGCTTTGCTCTCGCAATCGCCAGCATACTGGGCCAGGGCGCGGTCAGCCAATGACTCTCGATCGCGAATAAATTTAGCACGACTTGCTTGTGTCATACGCAATACTTTACGAGCCTACAAAACACTCCGTGCTACAAAACTTCTAAATACAAATACCGACTAATCAGCCGTTTACGCAACGTTTTAGTTAAAATACCACTATTATATTACACTCTTCGTGGTTAAATAACACATAGTAGGTACCTAAGTATCACATCATTACAACAACAGTATAAAATTAATGTATACACAGGGCCGGATTAAGAGGCAACAGAGGAGTGGAGGCCCTAACTAGGGCGTATTTTAAAATCTACCACTCCGGGCCACTTACGATTACACCCCACTCAGGTCAAATACTGAGCTCTTTTCCACTTATTTTGTGGAATTCTCAACCACTAAAAATAGTAGTATAAACTATTTAAACCAAAAAATCATTCCAGCTGGGGTTGCTGCTTAAAGTAGCTGGTGGTGGTCCTACAATCCCATTTGCAGTTTTCGTCAAAGAAGCAGTTTTTATTGTGAAAAATGAAAATGAAGTCATAGAGCTGAATCTAAGCTATACATAGGATGGGTGTTATATCCGTAAGTTGTTAGCGAGGTGTAGATTTTCCTCGAAATCTGTTCAAAATGAGCCCCTGGGGAAGGAACACCCAACTTTCAGAAGACCACAGTA